GAAGGGCATTGAATAGTAACTGGCAATAGTGAAAACTCAGCCAAAGTGATCCACTGGGATGATTTTGGCCCAGTCTACCCTGAGCACTTAGCACAATGTTTAAAATCTAGTAGGTCTTGAATTGCATGCATTAGTGAATGGATGAAGTCTGTTATTCTGTGGCTCAGCCACTGTGGTTGATTGTTAGCAGCTGAGCATAGTTTTGGACCTATTCTACATTCTTCCCTGCATGTTGGGGGAAGAATCTCAGGTATACATTTTTTGGAATCCCTTTCCAGTGGGGTTATGTATTTGACTTTGCCAATGAAAGTTGTTTGCCCAAGATTTGAGAAGGAAAGAGAAGACAAATCATTATACCTTTGGGAGCAGCTGGGGAGAGGTGCATGGACTCTGGCAGAAGACACATGGAGTGTTTTTGCAGCCACATCTGGGCAATCTCCTAAGAAACATATGGTTTGCTGCTACGTGAGCCCTTCAGTGGCAGCTTGGATTCCTGATTTCTGCACTGGTGGATTTCTTCAAAGCAGTAGTAGCTCCTCTGTGTGAAAGGGAAATAAAGCTTCGACACCCCAATTCACTATGCCACAAGGAAAAAAATTAAGCTGAAAGTGGAGTCAAGCAAGACACTGACTTTCCTTTTGTTTCTAAGCGGATAGCTACAATAAAAGGTTAAAAATCCCCACGGGTAGTTCTGTGTAAAGCACCAATTTACTGAGTGCCAAAGGAATACATAATTGAGTATTCCTCTACCTTTGCCTTTTCCCTTGCAGCATGTGAATTTAGTAGTGTGATCATACCCTTCCTTTTCCCCCCTCCAGCCTGCTTTTCCCCTTTCAATACTGAAGCCCTCAAAATTATTTTCAAAGAAGGCACAGACCTATCTCCCAGGCATGTCCTCAATTTTGGCAAAATAAACTTCCAAATTGATTGCGACCTGACTCAGATCCTTTTGGGTTTACACCTGCCTTCATTGTTGTGGCACTCCCAACACGGGTGTGAGTTTCTAATCCCCTGCATTAGATCCCTTCCTTCTTAAAATACCTAGAGGGCTTGCCTTTTTTTTTTTTTTTTTTTTTTTGATTAAACCCAATTGTTATGGGATGAATTGTGTCCTCTCCTCCAAATTCATGTCAAAGCCCATAACACCCACTACTTCAGAATGTGACGGCATCTGGAGATAGGAGTCTTCAAAAAGGTGATTAAGTTAAATGAGGCCATTAAGCTTGGCTGTAATTCAGTATGATTGGCATCCTTATAAAATGCAGAAAATTGGACATACACAGAGACATAAGAGATGTGGGCACGCACAGACAGGAAAGTCCATGTAAGGACAGCGAGAAGGTGGTGGTCTACAAGCCAAAGACAGCGACCTCAGGACAAAAAAAAAAAAATCTTGCCTGTACTTCAGTCTTAGACTTTTAGCTTCCAGGACTGTGAGAAAATGACTTTCTGTTGATTAAATCATCCAGTTTGTGCTATTTTATTATGGTAGCCCTAGGAAACTACTACATTAATCTGAACACAAATTGGATTGTTAGAACAATAGACTCGAAATTGTCCCCCTGACTCTTTGAGGAGAAAGGGTATACTATGGTGGTTCTCTAAGACTCCAAGGTATCACCTATCTGTGAGTCACTTGAAAAATTCACACAAGGCACCTTTCATCCAGAAGTTGCTGCTGTACCAGTGCCATGTAAGTTCTGTAGCATAGCCTAGATGAGGTCTGAGTTCTGATCAACAGCCAGGAAAAATGGGCACAATGTGTATTTTTTGTGGATATCATGATTCAGTTGTTTCTGCACATCATAAAGACAGCCAAGGTGTCCACAGCCACCTCCAGTGAAGCCCAGGCCCTGCCCGCAATGCTCTGCAGCAGCTGTGGAGGGCCTGCTGGTAGTGGGGGCACAGCCATTCAGTAGGGAAGTTTGAGTGACTCTCTCCAATTCTGTAGTCAGTTTTGACAGACAAGGGGGAAAAAAAAAACACCTCAAAATTGAGAGTGTGGGGGAAGAAAAAAGAATGGAAACCAGAACTGTTATAAGGGCCTGTGATGGTTAATACTGAGCGTCAACTTGATTGGCTTGAAGGATGCAAAGTATTATTCCTGGGTGTGTCTGCGAAGGTGTTGCCAAAGGAGATTAACATTAGAGTCAGTGGGCTGGGAAAGTCAGACACACCCTCAATCTGGATGTGTACCATCTAATTGAGCTGTCAGCATGGCCAGTATATAAAGCAGACAGAAAAATGTGAAAAGACTAGACTGGCTTAGCCTCCCAGCCTACATCTTTCTCTCACACTGGATGCTTCCTGCCCTCTAACACTGGACTCTAAGTTCTTCAGCTTTGGGACTTGGACAGGCTTCCTTGCTCCTCAGCTTGCAGATGGCCTATAGTGGGACCTTGATATCGTGTGATTTAATACTCTTTAATAAACTCCCCATATATATATATATATCCTATTAGTTCTGTCATTCTAGAGAACCCTGACTAATAGAGGGCCCATTGAGGAAACAAAAAGAGATCCTGAAGAATCCTTCCTCTGAATGGGAAGTGAATCGAAGGGCTTAACTGACAACATCCCTGTGATTCCCTAATAGGAAAAGATTAACTGTATTTTCTAACCTAGAGGGGTAAGCTAATGCCTTTAACACCTACCCCGAGGCTGACTCCTACATAAAGAGGCAGAGGGTCACAAATGGGTCCACAATGAATGGACATCAAGGACACTTGGGTGACAGGGGCTCTTCTACACTAAAGAGTGACAGAGAGGCCAGGGCTGGCTGCCCTTCCCTGCCTGGAGCAGTGAGATACATCCAAGGCTAGTAGCAGTGTCTCCTATTTTACTGATGAGGAAATTGTTATCCAGTGGGTAAACCTTTACAAAGTCATGGAAGGGGGCTAGATAGAGCTGGACTGATTCCACTCCAGGTCTTACTATAAGATAACACACTTACCAATTTGTCACATTGCCTCACAGAAACATTTCGTGAACTGAACAACTGAAGGTCTCCAGTGACTGAAGACGTCTCTTGAATTATTACATGTACCACTGTCAAATGTCTCTGTTTACCATAGATGAAAGCTCCATCCAAAGTCTATTCATATGCACTGCTTACTTCATACTGTGGAGCTAATTTAAAGCTAGGGAGAACTTTTGTTTTTTCCAGAAAGCCTGAGTGTAACCCAATAGGAGTATTTTAATTTGTGTGCAGGACATCACCACCCCCATCCCCGCCACACAGATACCTAAAAGATTTTCTTACTTTGGTGATTCGTTCTATGACTGTAATTCTAGCTTCAATTCGATTAGAAGGAGAAATGATACCTTAACTGAAGGAAGGAGCATATAGTTTTTAGGCAGAGGTGGCAACCAAAGACATAGACTTTGAAACATTTTCTTTTAGAGCATGACGAAAGCCAGCAGTTCATTTTTATTCTGTTATTCAGGAAAACCTCATAGTGATTTTGGTTCTCACTAGACCTACGTTTAACTTGTCTTTATCTGATTTATTCATTTGCCTGACTACTTGCCCACGCCCAGACTCTTCATGCTGATATAAATCAAGTGACTCCACGAGCAAACTAATTTCAAATTCAATTCAAGCCTGTTTCAGAGTGCTTATATGTCTCACTTTCACCTCTTTATGACTAATACAAGTGATTTATGAGTTGTGCATAATCTTCTCTCAGTCTGGAAGTTTCCCCCACCCTACCTTTAAATATATTTCTGTAAAACGGCATATGAGTCACTAAAGTTCTTTTACAAAAATGGGTTTTGCACAGCAAATAATTAAACATGAGAAGACACTGAAACTTCTCTGATGCTTTGATTTCCTTAATGAAACGCAAAGTTACACAAGCCCAGAGTTGCTCTAAGTAGAAAGTACAGTACATTAAACAAATGAGAGGGAGAGAGATGATCACACAGACACTCCTACTTTGGAATTATTTTTAACTTTAACTGTTTTCTTTGAAAAATGTCAAGTATAATTGGTATTTTAATTTCAGAAGACCTGTAAATCCACCAGGGATAGAAATCAGATCCAGTGAGCTTCCTGTCTCATACCAGATAAGATTTGACTAAAACCTACTTAATTTCTTTTCTTTTTTTTTTTTTTTTTTGAGATGGGGTTTCGCTCATGTTGCCCAGGCTGGAGTGCAGTGGCCTGATCTCGGCTCACTGCAAGCTCCGCCTCCCGGGTTCACGCCATTCTCCCGCCTCAGCCTCCCAAGTAGCTGGGACTACAGGGGCCCGCCACCACGCCTGGCTAGTTTTTTGTATTTTCAGTAGAGACGGGGTTTCACCATGTTAGCCAGGATAGTCTCGATCTCCTGACCTCGTGATCGACCCGCCTCGGCCTCCCAAAGTGCTGGGATTACAGGCTTGAGCCACCGCGCCCGGATCATGTCTTGTTTTGTTTTTACTGTAAAAAATATTATAGCAACAGTAAAGGGATTTTTCAAAAAATGAAACAAAACTCTTCAAACACAACTGATTTTGATTTTGCATAGTCCTGCCCTGTCTTTATTTATATTAATATATCCATTTAATTTTAAATTCTCAGGTTCTAAGACAGAAAGAAAACTCCAGAGCCAACTGCTATTCCCAAAGGCAGAAAGTGTTTAGTGACAGCCATGGCCTCATGAGACAGGACCAAACCAGTCTTGCTGTGCTGCCAGTCGCACTTGCCCTTTCTCATCTCCTGCAAGTCCCCAAATTCCTATTTTCTTTCATTCAGTAGTGATCCAAAACAAAAATCCTTATTTTCTCCTTTTGCATAACAAGAACAATAAAAATTTCTTGAGGGCAGAGGCAAAATCTATTTATCCCAGTGCTTAATCCAGTGCCAGGCATATAGCATATTCAGCAACTAAATAAAAACCTTAAGAAAAAAAGCAATTTGTGTCTTTCTGTTGGTTTCAAATCTAGCTCATCTTTTTAAAACCTCTTATTCTCCTGAAATCACAGATTCGTGATAAAGAAGAACAAATCACTGTTGCCACATTTAACACTTGTACATTTTATTTAATTAAATCAGCCATTGTACACATTGCAGCTATGTATTGTTAGTGTTGTATTTTTTTTTCCATTAACTAATACATGCCCTCATAGATATATTCAATTAGTGTTATCACCATGGGAACAAGATGCTGATTCGTCAACTGAAAATTCACTTCTTCTCACAGTATTCAAGTTTTTGATAACACAGCAAAAATCAAAATCAAAAAAGGGTGAATAACCATTATGTTGTTACACAGACATCATCTGCACTGCAAATAACACAACAGAAATGCTTTTCTTGAGCTCCAGTGAAGGTTTTGACAAGAAGGCCATAGGGTGTCTCAAAAAGTTTCACCATCGGCCTCTCTTATTTTGGCTGCCAAAGAATGTTTCATTTCCTATCCAACTGCCAAAAAGTGCTAGCATTTGAGGCTTGGGAGATTTGGCTTGTGGGAAACCTCCCTCCCAGGAAATTTTTTCTCTTGGCAACATTACTTTAAATGATGAAGTGCCATTGTTTGTCGCATTTGTTTTTGACATTCGGAGCAATGAGTCATTTTTGCACAACAGGAAAAGACCAGATAATTGGAAAATGTTCAATCCCTGGAGGATAGACTCTGTCCTTTTTTATTTAAATTTCATCTTCATTGAATATACTTTTCTTTAACAAATGACTGATTCAAAATGTATACTGTTTATATGAATATATTTGTGAATATATATATGTTAAAATGCTACACAGCTTCAACCACTAGAGGAATAGGAAGAGGACATGGAAATTACTCAGATTGTTACAGTCCCTTCTTTGAGACAAACAAACAGAAGTGCACAAATGCACTTAAGAGTTTCCAAGGGAGTGTGGATTTCAAATAAATAAACCAAAAATTTTAACCAAAACCAAATTTTCAAGGATTTCTCAATCTCGTCTGCAAGCTGAAAAACAGACCTAGCTGGAAAGTGAAAAGTGCTCACTCAGGGTAAAAAGAATGGAAACAATTAATGTGATTAGAAGAGGGGTTTGACCGTGGTCTTGATTTTTAAATGCCACATGCAGGTATTAGAGAAGATATAAACCTGAAAAAAAAAAAAAAAAAAGAAAAAAAAAAAAAGAAAGCACTCCAACATACTGAAGGAGTTTAACCCTTTATGTAGTGAGTAAATCTTGTTTCCAATGAATTATCTACAGTGCAGTGGCCAGAAGAAAGTACCACCAGTAAGACAGCGTGGTTTGCTAAAGCAGCAATGAAAACTGGAAAACTACAGTAGTTATAGCTTTTAAAATACCCTGCCAAAACTTGTCCAAAATCTAAAGACCTGAAGATGCTAGAATGCCACACAATGTAGCTGCTAGCAACTGAATACCCCATCGTTTCATTCTGTGTGGCCTCTGCTCCCTTCTCCCCTCCCTCAGAGTGGCTGTTGGAGAGTCCTAAGCCATGGCTGGCCAGCACCAGCAATACTGTCTCAGGACAGTTCTGCGAGGCTGTTAACCCACCTTTAACTGGGAGCAGTGGCTACTCTGGAAGTTCTAAGGACATAATAGGTCTGAAGTGCTTCTTTTGTAGTAAAACTATATTATCACTCGATTGTGTTAGCAATATCTTAATTAACCATTGTTCAGCAATTTCTAGAGGCCTTTTATTCTGATGCCCAGTGTAGTTACAATAGGCAGTGGTTTTAATTTTAATATGTTGTTCATCTGAGCATTTCAACTATATACATTGTACATAGATATCCCTTGGAAGGATTCCTATATAGTGTCACTTGAAGAGGTCTGCAGGTGAAGTTCTTCTGATCAATGGATTTTCATGGATCTTGTGCAGAAGCAAAGAACAATGGAGGTGGCCAGTTCCCAGGTTAGCACAGACACAACAAAGTATTGGATACAGCATCCAGTATGAAGGATGCCATCTTTGGTCACAAATTAGCTTTATAGTTAAAGAGGATGGGGGAAAACTAAAACAAAATGCCGTATATTTGCTAACAGTGGAAATGTCGGGGTATCCCATTAATTAGGCCAGTTAGGTCACTCTTCTACTGAAACAGGAAGCTGCATATTGAGTGAATGTGTGGTTTCTGGTGTGAGAACTGGGCAGCCCCTCACTTGGCCTCTTGCTTCAAGTCCTCCTTGCAGAAATGCCGAAGGAGCTGCTGGAGATCGCGCTGGAGGTCGTCCTGGTCTAGTGCTTCTGGTACATCCTCCAGGTGCTCCAAGTCAATGCGTTTTCCATGCTGGTCCTTCACCACAGCCCTCTTCTGTGTAATGGCTTTACTCATTGTTGTCCTGGAGAAAAGCAGACAAGAGAGAATTACGCTCTTTTCACTGCTAGAGGGCAGCTGTTAGGTATGAAGGTGACCATTACACTGAGTACTTAATGTCTTACCTTTAGATGTTTCCACACCAAACTATCAGCATAATAAACTATAGATATCTTTTTATGTCTTTCTTTTAAACACAGCTCCCCTCTCTAAAACGATTCGTGAGATTTTTTAAAGAGTGTTTTGGAACAACGAGTATTTTTTAATTCTTTAAGAAAAATTTTAAATAAATGAAAGCATGCTTTAATTTGATCTTCTTGAAAACTAACCATAAAATCATTCATGGTTTAATTAAGTAGCCCTGACTTAATAGAGTTTGGTTCATTCTGAAATAGTACCACAAGTACCTTTTGACAGGCTAAAAAAAAAAAAAGTTTTTAATTTATTTGAAACACCTTAGCTGCCAGCTTAAACCTTACAGTCACAACCTCACCCAAACTTCCCAAAATTCTGTTTTCAGAGAACTTTTCTATGAGGCATCGGTCTTTAAAAACTAAAATATTAGTCTACCAATATATAAGAAGGTGGCTACCAACAAAAGATGATCTGCCCAGCTCTCTAAGGCTTCATCTGGAGATGGTGGGGGAGGAAGGGGAAAAGAGAAAAGCCATTGAGAGACAACTGCTTCCTCCGGATTCTCAGAGTCTCACGCTTGTTGCTCATTCTGTGTCTTTCTTGCCATTTAACAGTCTGTTGTTTACTTGCCTCCCTTATAGACTGGTGGTTACTATAACTCCCTTTCTTGAGACAGAGTCTAGCTCTGTCGCCCGGGCTGGAGTTCATTGGTGCAATCTTGGCTCACTGCAACCTCCGCCTCCCGGGTTCAAGCGATTCTCCTGCCTCAGCCTCCCAAGTAGCTGGGATTACAAGCACATGACATGATGCCCAGTCGGCTAATTTTTTGTATTTTCAGTAGTAGAGACAGGGTTTTGTCATGTTGGCCAGGCAGGTCTCGAACTCCTGAGCTCAGGTGATCTGTCCACCTTGGCCTCCCAAAGTGTTGGGATTACAGGTGTGAGCCACTGCATTGGGCCAAGAGCTATAACTTTTGTATAGTCATACTAATTTTAAGTCATACTAATATTTTCCTGTAACTGTACTTAAAAGTAATTATATTGTAATATGCTCATTCTCAGCTCTTTTCACTTTCTTCTTCTTCTTCTTCTTCTTGTTCTTGTTCTTCTTCTTCTTCTTCTTCCTCTCTTCCTTCTTCTTCTCCTCCTCCTCCTCCTCTTCTTTCTTCTTTCTTCTTCTTCTTCTTCTTCTTTTTTTTTTTTTTAAAGTAAAAGCAAGTCTATTAGGCAAGGAAGGGAACAAAAAATGGCTACTCCATAGGCAGAGCAGCCTTTCTCACTATACACTTCTAAATGCAGGTTCTCATTCCACAAGTATTTGATGAATGTGTTTTATGGGCCAGACACTATTATTATAAAAAATAAGGAAATTGAATCTTAGAGAATTTTAGCAATAGTCCAAATAAAAAATAACAGAGTTAGCATGAGTGGGGCTGACAGTCAACGATTCCAGAGCCTGAGTCCCCATAACCATACACCATGCATCTTCACTTAAAACCTCCGTAGGAAATGATCAGTTTTTGTAGCTTTACCCAGCATTTTCCTTATAGATTCCCAGTGTTAAGAAGCTGGAAGTTCTGCCATTATCCAATACCTTTATGTATTTGCTACGATCATCCTGATTTTTAAAAAATAACTTACTTCAGCCAAAATACTTTCAGCTTTTTTTGGACATCCTTGTTTCCGTCTTCCTTCTTCCCTTACATTCTTTTACTCTCCCTTTTTCTTTAATACTGTATGAATTGTTCTGCATCTGGAAGCAAACTTAAATTTGTTCTTGCTGATGAAAAGGTCAAATTTGATTCCAATGATTGAAATCTGATGTTTTCCTAAATATTCAGCAACCATTTTTTTTTTCTTCAAAAAGGCACATTTCTGACTATTTCTGCTAAGAGTTAGTAGAAGCCCTTATAGCACTGATGCCAGCGGTTAAGCCTCCATTATAGGCCATTTCGTGATATTCTGTGCAGGCAAATGTAGGCCAATGTGTTTCTGAATATACACATGTATATGATGTCTTTAACAATGTATATAAAAAAGCATTGCACATCACAAATAGAGTTCCATAACTAACTAGCTTCCACAACTAACTAGCTGTGGGAACTCTATGGAGTTGTCTATATTCCTATATTTGAATATATTCCTATATTCAAATTCACCAGCCATTATTGAGAACTTTGGATTAATTGATCTCTAAATCTATTCCATGATGTTAGGGTATGCGTGGATTATGTGGTTTCATCTGAATAATTGAATAAAAGACTTAAAAGTTGAGAGTATAAAAGGCATTTTATCCTTAATTCACGTAGCATTTTTTAAGTTCTGCAAGAGCAATTGCACTCTTTTAAATTCCTAGCTGCTGCTCTTTTCCCATTTGATTGGAGGGTGGAATTGTGACAGAACCTTTAATTTTGCTGTTCTAATTATTATGTTCTAAAGGCTTAAAATAGTTTTGTAGCATACTCTGAATGACAATCTTTCTCCCCTTTTCAATGAAGTGAAAAGCACGATGGTAACTTGGATTTCCATTGTGTCTTTTCACTGAGAAGCTGAGCACATTTTATTAATCTCAATACTTACAGTGCTGTTAGAGGACCAGTGAGAAGTGAGAGTAGATCTATGGAACAGTGCCCAAGTTTATACATCAAATCCGTAACAGAGACCAGGGTAGACCAGTGTGCCTCACAGTCAGCCCCCTTGTATAAGCATAAAAATGTACTGCTTACTGCTTTCATGACACTTGCTCAACTCACTAAAGCCCTAGGTTTCAGCATTGCTAGGTACATTTGTTTCATGGGTATCAAACTCATGCTTATGTTATTTGCCACTCACATGCAGAATCATACAGCAGCCGTTAAAAGAAACCACATACCATTCAAAGTAATGATTTACTAAGATTGAGCTGAATATAGCTGGTCACAAAATTAATTTGTGATCTATCAATTAGATTCTTCTTCCTATGCTCTCTGAATCTATCAACACAATGGAATACCAGCAGGCTGGCTTCAACTAAGTTGATGACTTGCTAAAACTCAAGGAGTCAGACTGTATAAGCAAGAGTCTCGTTCTTGCTATGACTTAGTATTATGTTTAAAGTATCAAGAGGATACTACAGGGATGACACTTTGATAGATCCAGTACTTGACCAAAGCCTTATGATACAGGCAGTTCTCTATCCGCTTTAGGGTAGATGTAGGGATTCTCTCCTTCTTTTCTTAAAATTGGAAAAAATTTTATGGTGTTAGTTGGCAAAGCATCACCCCATGCTAACCCAAACCTTTTAATTATTGATCCATCCTCTTTCAGGATTTCATTCTCTACTAAACTGGGTAAGTGGACTTTCATGTGGCTACCTGTGTAACTCAAAGCCTGAAGTAAGAAGAAAAGAAAAGACAAAGCTCATCATAAACTACAGACTTTCAAACAATCTATTGCTTTGCTTTACTCATAGTCAGTATGAAAACATATACTTGAAAGGATAAATAAATACAATTCCTAGAAGCAGATTTAAGTTTGGAGTTTTATTTAACAAGTCCTTTTAGTTTCTCTCATTTGTGTGGGAGATTTGTTATTTTACTTTACAAAAGCTGCTAACTAACATCCATATGGATTGACTTTCAATTTCCTCCTTGCTTCACCCAACTCCTTTTTACAGTGGAGATTTTAATGATAAATATAATAACCAGAGGCAAAAATAAGCAAACAAGGCCCAAACAGTATAACATAGATAATTCATTTTTGACCATTCAAGATTGCCAGTTGTCAAAATGTGAAAACTGAAAGTATTTTAAAAAGTTTGCTTTTAATACTTCAATGAATTCATATATGATCTCAATATATATTATGGGTATAGTAGAGGACACATATATAGCATTTAGTGTCAAAATGTTCCAATAGCGAAAGTACTTTGTAGATGTTTGCACATGCCCAGGATCCCTTAGTCAAAACTTTGGGACCAGATGTGTTTCAAAATTTAGATTTTTTTTTCCCTTTTGGATTTTAGCAAGGTAATATAATGCATATGCAGTCACATGCTACATAATGACATTTTGGTTAAAAATGGACTGCATATATGACATGGTCCCATAACATTATAATGGAGCTAAAAAATTCCTGTCACCTAGCAATGCTATAGCTGTTCTAACTTCACGGTGCAATGTATTACTCAGATGTTTGTGGTGATGCTGGTGTAAATAAACCTACTAAGCTGCCAATCATATAGAAGCATAGCACATACAATTATGTAGGGTACATAATACTTGATAATGATAATAAATGACTCTGTTACAGGTTTAGGTATGGTAAATACATTTACTATGTATAGCAAATACATAAATCAGTAACAGTCACTTTTCATTATCAAGTATTATAGAAGTGATACTTTTTATCACTATTTTAGAGTGTACTCCTTTTACTTATTAAAAAATAGTTAATTATCAGGGAGCCTCAGGCAGGTCCTTCAGGAGGTATTGCAGAATAAGGCACTGTTTTCTTAGGATATGATAACTCCATGTGTTATTGCTCCTGAAGACCTTCCAGTGGGACAATATGTGGAGGAGGAAGACAGTGATATTGATAATTCTGACCTTGTGTAGGCCTAGGCTAATGTACATATTTAGGTCTTTGTTTTTAGCAAAAAAAAAAAAAATCTTAAAAAGTAGAAACAAATAATAAATTTAAAAAATTAAAAGCAGAAAAAAGTGTATAGAACAAGGATATGAAGAAAAAAAAAATTTTAATGCACCTGTGCTACGTGTTTGCATCTTAACTTGTGTTATTACAAAAGAGTCAAAAGTTAAAATAAATGTAAAAGCTTATAAAGTCAAAGTTACAGTAAGTTAATTGATTATTGCAGAAAGAAGATTTTAAAAACTTAAAGGAAAATTTAAACATAGCCTAAGTGTACAGTGTTTATAAAGTCTACTGTAGTGTATAGTAATGTCCTAGGCCTTTACATTCACTCACCACTCACTCACTGACTCACCCAAAGCAACTTCCAGTCCTGCAAGCTCCATGGGAAGTATGCTATACAAGTAGAACATTTTTAATCTTTTATTTTGTATATCTACTAAACCTTTTCTACTTTTAGATTGGAAAATACTTACCATTGTGTTATAATTGCCTACAGTATTCAGCACAGTAACATGCTGTGCAGGTTTGTAGCTTAGGAGCAATAGGTTATACCTTACAGCCTAGGTGTGTAGTAGGCTATGCCATCTAGGTTTGTATAAGGACACTCTACAATGTTCACACAATGACAAAGTTGTCTAACGATGTACTTCCCAGCACCTATCCCTGTCATTAAAATCCACTTATGCCTAGTGAACGCTAGGCATGTGGAAGTTATTTATATCCTACTGCTCAAGGTCATCACCAAGGTCTGATTTTTCACTCATGCAAAAATTTAGAAAATTGCAACCTCTGGCATAAGTGGGTTAAGCGATGCATGACTGTACTGTATAATACTAACACCCCAGAGGAGGTGAAGATGACATCCTGCAATCAAACGCATTTTTATATCACTGAACATTCACTCTAGGTAGAATAAAAAAGCTTCATGTCAGAATAGCTCTATGCCAATTTATTTCAAGTTTTACTTCCAAATTAACTTCCAAAATTTGTTTTGGTTTTCAGAATTTGGGGATTTTAGTAAGAGTTTGTGGATCTGTTACTGTGGACCCATTTTCTAATTGTTGGAAACCAGAACTTAAATAATTGTAAATGCTTTTAAATTTTATGGACATGGAATATATCTGAATTTTCTTTAAGGTCTATCACAGATAATATCTGAAAAGATTGGCTAGCAAATATAATTTGCAATGTCTTTATTTCTTTCCCTTATTAATTGACAAAGCAAGACACTTCTGTGACTTTTAAACAAGATGTATAATCATATCCCAGCTCCAGAGATTCTGAGTCTGATTCAGCAGAAGCAAATCCTAGTTATCTGGACTTCTAAAAGCTGTTCAGGTGACACCAATGAACACCACAGTTTGAGGAAACATTACTCTGCAAGTTATTCAAACAGGAGTTCTACCCTCTTGAATTATTCTGTACCTTTCCATGAATTCATGTATGGAATTACACAATGACAAACGATTTTCTTTTCAAATGCAAAGCAACATAAAACACACACACACAAAGACAAAATGATGATGCTTCTATACCTCTTCAAAGTCATCTTTGGCTGAAGGAAGATCAGTGGCTAAACTAGAATCCCCCAGATGTTTCTCCATCCTCTCTCCACGTACCACAGTTGTTTTAACAACTTTGCTGACTCTACGGCCTTCCACTGGCTCAGCCTGAAATTGTGAGGTACTGGACAAAATGCTGGGCTCACACAAAGTGACCTAATGATCGAAGGACACACAATAGACAATGTCTGATTGCCAAATGTAACTATGATGAATTTTTTCTATGTTAAAAAACAAAGGACAAAACTATAATGTTACATACTGGCTTTCCAAAAAACAGCAATGGGAAGCAGAGTTAGAAAAAAACAAACTATAACCTATTGGTAATATGTACATCATGACTGTATCTCCACAACACCAAAGCAAACTTAATTAGTTATTTGAACAAAAAGTTATCAGTTTTGTGAATAAGAAACTGCTCAGTGTAATACAGACATAATAATATGAAAAAACTCTTCTCACGTTTAAATAATTTCTTTTGGTATTATGAAGATAAAATTAGCCCCCAAAGGAGGAGCTCTAAAAGCTATAAGAAACTGAAAAGTAGATTTCTAGAGAATCTCATGTGTATAATATAAAATTTTGAAGATGTGAATGAATGGAAAATAGTGAGAATTCCACAAATTGTTGTTGAAGCAAGTAAATAGGTCCTTGAAAGAGGGAAGTAAAACAGAAATAAATAGAAGTATAGATTGCCAGGTGCAGTGGCTCATGCCTGTAATCCCAGCACTTTGGGAGGCTGAGGCAGGTGGATCATTTGAGGTCAGGAGTTCAAGACCAGGCTGGCCAACATGGTGAAATACTGTCTCTACTAAAAACACAAAAATTATCCAGGTGTGATGGTGGGTGCCTGTAATCCCAGCTACTCAGGAGGCTGAAGCAAGAGAATCGCTTGAACCCGGGGGTGGAGGTTGCAGTGAGCTGAGATCATGCCACTGTACTCCAGCCTGGGTGACAGAGTGTAACTCTGTCTCAAAACAAAAAACAAAAAGCAAAAAGGATAAATCAAAGGGTTTCTAGATCCTGATTTTAGTAACTCTGCAATGCAGAAATCTGAATATCAAATATTTATCTAGAGTGACTTTCAGAAGGCTGGTGTGCCAAGCAGGCACAAGCCCCACAGTGCATTTCTACACAGTCTCTCCACAGCGTACTGCTTGCCCAGCAAATAGCATTGTATTCTTTCAAAATTTGACTTTTGGATTTCTGCAGTGGTCAACCATGAATTAAATAAAGAATAGATATTTTTAAAAAGACCAAACAAAAACAATGAGTATAATGCCTAGAAGTCTCCCTGATGGCTGTCTTAAAACCACATAGAATCATGAAAACAAAAACGGAACGTGCAACTAAAAGCAAACTGCCATATAAAAGGGAGATGTGAGGAAAATGTGAATAAACAATCTCATTCATCTTTTTTGAGTTCTATTTTGTTCCTCTCCATAAAATGGGTTTTCGAGAATCAGGTTGTCTCACCTCTGACTGCTCGGTGTCACTCTTCAATACAACACGCTTTATAACTTTGGAATAGCCATCCCCTTCCTCGATGTTGACAGGTTCCTGTGGCATTCCCTGCACCGTAATCTCTTCTTTCTCTGTGCCTTCAGAGGATACGTACCGCCTAATGATTTTCCTAGTAACCTGAAATGTATTTCATTTGTGTATCTTATTTTTGTGTGACAGTACCATGGAATTGATACATTTTAAACAGGAAGTTTGTAATCAAGCCTGTTGGATTATACTAGACAATACCTTCTTTACCACGGTGTGTCCATGCTCATCAATATATTCTTCTTCTGTGACTGTTTCTGGGGGTATTTCAGGCATATCGTCTCCCTAAACAGTTGAGAGAAAAGGGTCACTGCACTGTTTGGCACCAATTCTGAGGAACTACTCCCAAGTGCTTCTAATGTGAGGAATGTTAGAAAACCAAAGGCGATGTTGAGAAGCATTGCTGAGATACAAAATCCTGTCAACTAGTTTGTTTAAAAGAAAAATGCAGGTGGGTAATAACATGCTTAGGAGAATATGACCAAAGTTAGATCAAACTTCAACAAAAATAGTTAAGCGAGAGGTGAGGTGGGTGGAAGTGAAGAAGCCAAGTCTTGCTCTTGCTTGGTGGCTCTCTTGGAGGAAAGCTGGAACCACTGAGTTTCTTTGCAAACAGAACTTATGAGCATTAAGGAGTCTGCTTTTGAATGGCCATGCACTACCTAAGGAACATGCCAAGCCTTCATTGATCCAGGCTGATCACTCTCTAAGGGTATGGGGACAGGACTGTCCCTGACGTGCAGTAATTTAACAGCGGGTACCTGAATAATCACTCGCCGGCGGACAACCCTGGTAGTTACCATCGCCTCCTCATCTGAGCTGGCCTCCAGCTCCCCTAATTCCTCTGTTAGCTCCTGGTGGAAGCATGGAAGCATTGCTTTGTTTAACATGCTAAGGAATGACTTCACTACTGGTTTCTTCTTTAGCTTACATTGTATTGTGAAACTTTTATTCACAGAGTCTTCGGTGGACACGTTGGTAGAGGTGAAAACAAGTATGTGCTGGTCTCAGACATCAACAAAAATAGAGTGTTTTGGTTTCTTTTGTTTTTTTGTTGTTCAATGAATGAAAAAAAATTCTGGAATTCTGAGAGCTGTTGGAGAACCCATCTGTCAAAATCTCTCCAAAATAATAAGCAGCTTACTCACGTGACTTCTTTTACTTAAACTCCTAAAAAAAAAGCCTGACTGTAAACATAGAACCTAAGCAGTTCAGTAAACACTTATGAGCCACTGACACTTGTGCTTAGGCTTGGAATTATTCACCCAAAGGTACAGGAATATCCCCTGTTTCTAGCAGAACTTTTTGCAGGAAGTCAAAGTTTCCTGTAGCTATTATCTAACCAATAGTGCATCTCCCTGGCATCAACAAAGGCAGACTCTGAATAATATTAGAATAATTTTACGGGGAAGTTGAGATAAAGTGATCAATAGTATTTTAGGGCTCTGGCCAAAAGCCAGAGATAAAGCAAAAAACGTAATTTTAGCTTAGCACATATTACCTTAGGAGTCATATATTGAATTAATGTTCCCTAAAGAAATTTTGTTTTTAAAAAAGACAAAGCTCAAGTAGATCTACTTAACATACTGTAAAACTCAAGTTATATGTTTACATTTGTCTCTGCTAAAGGAAGACATGTAAATTCTAAACCAAATTATGTTTTAAATATAACCAGGAATCTACTGCCTAGAAATATGGTTGGCAAGAAAAGTGATTAAAATTGGATGCCCAAGTTAGGGTTATGAGAAATAAGGGTCCACATGGGAAACTTACAAGAAATGCCTGGTACTCATCAAGAATAAGTCGAACAGGCCTGTATAAATTATGTGAAATTCAGAATGATTTACACAAATGTATTCCTTTAGTATAGATTAAACATATGTATTATCCAGATAATTGTTTCAAGTCTAACTTCACTAAGCCTATGGATTCTTAGGCTAAATTTGGTAACTTTTAGCCCAGATAACATGTATGAAACATTTTTAGTAATACTCATTCAAGCCAAGAATTTGAGAGATGAATAATTCTATGCAAAAGCAAACTTGGAATAAAAATTCATTCATGGCATGAATTTATTATTTAAGAAAACTGCCAAAAATCAGGACACAGTTCTCATCCGCCTGGATCTTTCCTAATTTTAGTTATGATTTCAGACAATTCCTAGCAGCAGATCTCATTCTTACAGTGAACAAAAACACATGTGTGTCTTCAACCCAAAGATATGCTGTTTCATTTTATTTTCCCCAAAATTTCAATTATTTCACTTAACTCTTCTTTTACTGCTAAGCTGCTCGAAAAACACTTTGAAATATAAAGTGTTTTTGAATCTATTACTTTTTAAAAGAAAAAACAATATCTAATTTAATTTATATTAAATTAAGTTTAATTCAAAGATTCTCATACTTTTTTTGTGGCTGAGAATCCTCTGGGGAGTTATTTAAAAGGCAAATTCTTGTTCTCTCTCCCTACGCTGGGATTCATTCTAATTCAGGATTTCTGAGAAGGGATCAAGCTCTCCAATCAATTCTGAGGTATGTGAACTATATAGACCATATTTTGAGAATAAATGGTTGATTAATTTCTTTTTTTTATTTTTTAATTTTATTTATTTATTTATTTATTTTTTTGAGATAGAGTCTTGCTGTGTCGCCCAGGCTGGAGTGCAGTGGCCGGATCTCAGCTCACTACAAGCTCCACCTCCCAGGGTCACGCCATTCTCCTGCCTTAGCCTCCACAGTAGCTGGGACTACAGGTGCCTGCCACCACACCTGGCTTAATTTTTTTGTATTTTTAGTAGAGATGGGGTTTCACCATGTTACCCAGGATGGTCTCGATCTCCTTACCTCATGATCCGCCCGCCTCGGCCTCCCAAAGTGCTGGGATTATAGGCATGAGCCACCGTGCCCGGCCAATGGTTGATTACTTTCTTAACATGGTCCCCACCCTTTTTCACAATTTTAAAACTCACTTAATGACAAAGGAAACGCTATGAAATATGCCACTGTCAGGCATTTGTACATTTAGAAACTGCTGCAAGTTTAGGTACAATGTTTTTTTTCTCAGTCATTCCCAAAATAAATCTTAAAAAAAAAATCTAACTTGGAAATCTTCTTGCTTCTAATGAGAAAAATTTATTTTGGCAGCTAAACCCCACCCAGTACCCACAGTCTGCGTGCTCATCACCTGACAGGCCAGAGATCTAACAAGTCTGCTGATCCCAGCACATCCCATGGCAGACTTACCTGTTGCTGTTAATCTCTGCCACCAACTTTCATGCCCAACTTTACTAATTTTGAAAAGCTCCTCCAGATATATTGTTTCACCACCGTGTTCATTTTTCTTAGCAAAAGACGTTCCAGTGATAAGATCAGGGCTTATGATCAAATCACTAGCACTGGAACTGTGCACCATTTCTTCTAGATTAATCAACTCTCAGATTTTAAAAGGGATTGAGGATTTCCATGTGCCAGGTAAATTAATTTGGTTAACTTTTTTGTTTTGAAGTGAAAAAAATAAGCCATCAGAGAAATGGAAACTGGAAGATTTGTAGCTTTGTTACAGGTGGGCGAGAAAGTGGAGAGGAATGTCTTACCTTTTCAAAAGCTGCATCTTCATCGAGTCTTTCACGGGTCTCTGGCTGGTTATCGGCAGACTCCACTATTACGAGGCTGGTTTTCCGCGGAGAGCTCTCCTCTCTGTGCTCTGAGGGCTCTTCGGGTTCTTGTATGATGGGAGAGCCTCCCCGTTCACTGGATGTTGGGGTCTGGAGGTACAGCCTGTCCTCCTCTGGAGGGGTGCTAACTTCCTCAGGTGTCTTGCTGGGAGAGCCAGGTACTGTCGTAGCCTTCTGAGTCTCTGATGCTTCTGTTCCTGGAGTTGTCACACTGGAATGAAAAAGTCAAATGAGACTTCAGGGACATTTGCATTTCACCTCCCGCTCAAGCAAGCAAATTGAAAGGTAAGATGGAGCTGGTTTTTCCATAGTCTATGAGAGTCAAAATAGTTTTTGTACATTTGGCCAAGAAAGGCATTTGAAGAAAAATAATCTGATGAGATATAGAGTTGTAGCTCATTGAGATCTAGCACTGGCAGAGAGTGATGTATTATTCTAAAGATGAAAATTATCCTAAAATGTATTACAGTTACCCAACCTCTACAATGTATGTAAGTTATAGTTTCATCTTTTCTTTTATAACTCAAGGTGATATTGAGGATGCAATGAATTTTACTAAGTATTTGTAGATAATAAGGCTTTTGAAGCAAGAATCAAAATTTGGCAGAATTAAATAAATCCCCATGTTAATATAGTTATCATAACTATAAATACAAGGAAATTCCTATTGTACCTCTGAAAAACTGTTTCATTTAATAATAGAGGAATCTGTTGACATGGAAACTTTTTTCATTGATAGTCTGGAGTTACTCCAGTATAACTTTGATAACCTCAACTGCTAAATAATATTATTTGCCTTTTCTGTGCCTTCTTTTGGTATTTAGTGCAATCTATCACTCCATAGATATTAAATGCCTAAAATGTCTCTCTCTTATCCTCTCCTCTTCTTCCCATCTTTTCCTTAGTCCTTCTCCTTCTTACTTATATTTTCTTTATGCTCACCCTTAAAACCTACAGGTTGATGGGGCAAGGGTGGCTCAGTACAAGAAAAGATAATTTCATTACCCATTTCATCCTCTTCTCATGTCAGTGACCATAAAACTCACCAAATGACAAGTGAAATGCTTTGATACAATCTCATGACACCCTATTCTCAGACTTCAGGTTTAGGGATATGTTGGCCTTTCTCACAATTTGTTTTCTTTTTCTGGACAATCAATGTCAATTACACAACTCTTTCTTCCTTGGCTTCCATAAAGGCTGGAATTTAAATTCTGAGCTGAATTAGGCTCTGCAGCTTCCTTCAGCCAGAAGCTCTTCATAAGACTTATCTTTATTCCCACCCCAACTCTATTCCAACACATTTTAATAGTCTTTTATTCTATGTGGCTAGTTTGCATTGCATTTATATTTTTATGGCTTGTCCCCTCATATGCACCTCATGGTGCATTGGTTGAAATGATGAAATGAAATGGTGAAATCACACTCCTAACCAGCAATGGCATGATGAGCTCCATATTTGAAGTGTTACAGAGCAAATGAGGTGCAGCAATATTATAAGTCATGGCCGTGTCATCTACAGGGAATTTTACAGTTTAGATGAAGCATTCATAAACACACTTTTGACCCTGTGAGATGAGTCAAGTGTGTATTATTACTATAATTTACAGATGTGGAAATGGAGATTCAAATCACTTAAGGACTTGTTCAAAGTCACAGCTCTGGAAGTTGGTTCTTGTAGGTCTGTGCCCCAAACACTGTCACAATTATGTCTCTTACATGTTAATGCTTTTGTTTTTCCTTTAGCTCTGGCACTTGTGATTGGTAGGGTCATTTTAAAATTATTTAAAAACTAGTTATGCTTATATATGCCTGGCATCCACATTAGCCTGTTTCTTTGGTATTACATTTGACAGGCCTTCTTTGGAAACTCACAAATATTCCTGCCGATATTCCAGAGATGACTCTTCAGGCAGGTCTTGCATTTTCCCTGAGAAATCCTGTTGAACTTGCTCCTTGTGAGTTTGGGGAAACAGTGCTGTTGCTGAGCTGTCCCCTTCAGTTTTGGGGATGCCATCCTGAAAAGTGGAATAACCAACAGAAATGTCTTCCTCTGAGACGATAGGAGGGTGATCGCAGGTCTCGCTTTCTTTAGAAAGAGCTTGTTCCTCTTTCTGCTTGTGCTGTGCAGTGCATAACTCCTCTTGAAGTACCGAGAACCCTAAAGGGAGAATTATTGAAGTATTTAGTTGAAACTTACCTATATTGAATGGATATTTATTAAGTAACTACTATGTGTTACATCCTGAGATGGGCTGATGGATTACAAAGACGAAGAAGACACTGTGTCCACCTTCAAGATACTGATCATGTAGAAGAGTCTATGCAAGTAAGAGTCAATTCCAATGCAGAGCAACTGGGTCATAGGTGCCAGTCAATGAGTGTGGGAGCACCTAACATGAGGTTAAAATTTGGAAAGAAAATGCAGAGTGTGTTACAGGCCAAGGAGACCTAATGGTAAGTGGGAATGGACTGAGATAGTCAAAGCACAGAATCTGAAGAGTAAGAAGAGTACAGTTAATAATCATCATAACAAATAATAGCTAATACATACTGAAAATTTATTCTGTGTTAGGCACCGTTCCAAGTGCGCTGCAAGTATTAACTTGATTAATCCTCACTCTAGCCTATGAGGATAGTACTCTTTTTACGTAGAGTCTCTTATGACAGGCTAAGGAATTTCATTATATCCAGGGAAATGAGGAGTCATTGAAAGATGTTTAGCAGAGGCGTTACTGGCATTCATCTATTGACTCACTTATTCAACAGATATATATTGAGCATCAACTACGTAGTATGTGCTCCTTAGATGCTGGATATATAGCAGTGAACAAGATAGAAAAAGCTTCTGTCCTCACTGAACTTGCATTTCTGCAGATATATATTTATGATAAATATTGGGAGAAAAGCAAACCAGGATAAAGGCAGAGGATAAATGGGGCTAGTATTTTAAATAGACTTGTCAGGAAAGGCTCTGCTTAGGAGGTAACATTTGAGCAGTGACCTAAATAAAGTGAGAAAAAGGTATATGTTGATCTGAGGAAAGAACATGCTAGGGTGGAGGAAGCAGAAAATACCAGGGTCCTGAAACAGGAGAATGCAGAGGAATGGCAAGGAGGCCAGGCGTGCAGGACCAGTGCGATAAGGAGAGAGGTGGGAGATGAGGACAAGCTGTGAGGCTCTTGCCCAAGACTAAGATACATCATCATTCATATCCATGAGAAGTAAACTGCCACAGAAAAAAAAGAGCGAGGAGAAACAGCCAGTAAAGTAGAAAAAAAGAAGAAGAAGAAGAAGAAGAAGAAGAAGAAGAAGAAGAAGAAGAAGAAGAAGAAGAAGAAGAAGCAGCAGCAGCAGCAGCAGCAGCAGCGAGAATGTCATGAAATTTAAGTAAAGAAAATGTTTTAAGAAGAAAGGCTTCACTATTCATGCCAAATGTTACTCAGTGGCAAAGTAAGTTGAAGAATGAGAACTGCCTGCTAGACTTGACAATGAGGAAACAATAGGTGAATTTTATAAGATTGATTAGAGTGAATTACAGAGAGTTCTAGAGGGAATGGGAAGAGAGGAAGCAGAGACAAGAAATTCAGACTATTCCTTTAAGAGGTTTCCTATGAAATGGATGGAGTAACAGCAGTAATACAGGGGGGACATATAGGATAAAAGGAGTTATTTGCTTTGTTTTGCTTTTAAAGATGGGATCTATTAAAGCATGGTTTAACGCTGTTGGATATGGTCTAGTGGTAGGAAGCCAAAATGGATACTTGCAGGAATGGAGTCCCTGATTGGGTAAAAGGAGATGAAATCTAGTATAAAACAAGAGATGATAGCTTTAGCAAAGTGAGGAAATTTTATCCATTTTAATAGGATGGAAGGTAGAGTAAGTACATGCATTGAGATGCACTCATGTTGGTAGATTTGTGGTGGAAAAATATAGACATTTGCTTCTGATTATTCCTATATTTTCTAAGAAATAGGAAGCCTGGTCATCAGCTGAGTATCAATAAAGAAAAGAGACAGTGTTGGAGGTTTGAAGGAAGAAGACAACATGTAAAATAGAGATAAAAGAGAGAGAGAGAGAGAGAGGAAAAAAAACAGTGTTAGAGACCACAAACGAATGAGAACAGGTTAGAGAAACTTTAATACTGAAAATGTGGTAGGGCCAATGGCTGGAGGTTCCTGAGGGTCTGAAGCACTGTTGGTGCAGAAGTAAAAGAGGAAATGTACAGTCACTGGTAGTGATATAGTCCTAGTTGTGAGCCTAGAAATACGTGGCTAAGGTAGCGTAAAAACATACAAGTGTAAGAAGTGCCACCATGGAACTGAGGAAAGGGAATTCAATGGATCATTTTGTTATCTGTGAAATAACAAAGAATGAGCATGAAGTGGAGGTGGGAGGGTGTGTAAAACAGGGAGGAAAGCTTCAGGGTAGCAAGGAAAAGAACGTATGATCACCATAGGCCATGGTGTCCCTTATAAAAAAAAAAAAAAAAAAAGAGAGTAGGTCCAGTGCCTCAATTAACCACACACAGACACAACACATACACACACACACACATAGACACACACATAGACACACACACACAGTTTGACCTTCACTATGATCCAGTGTAATGGTCTGTTCAATTTCTGCATAACTATGACTGATGCGCTCCTGGAGAGGTTCTATGTTGGTCTCCATGAGATGAACAATATCCATTCGGTTGATTTTGGTGAGACATTCAATGAGGTTCGTATCTGACACATTAGAGAAAGAGCATTTATTACTTCTGAGAGGTACTCTTAGAAACCTCTTTCACTTAACTGCCTCACTCAATTTTTGATATCTGTACAGAAAAAAACAATCAAAGCCTAATTAAAAGTCTTTGTAAAAATAAGCCAACAGACAAAAGAGATATGCATATTTTAAAAAGTGGCACAGCATGGGCACAAGTCCTAAAAGTAGAATTGTCAGGTAACATACAGGACACCCGCCATACCTGAATTTCAGATAAAAAATAAATACTTCTTTAGTATAAATATGCCCCATATATCACATGGGACATGCTCATGCTAAAAATGTATTTGCTGACCACTTGAAACTTAAATTTAACTGGGCGCCCTTCTGTTTTTATTTGCTAAATCTGACAATCCTACTTAGAAGAATGTAAAGAAAAGGAATGATAAATATAGACTGGATGTTATTTATGAGTAAAGGAAGCAGAAACAGAAGGTAACGCACTACCAGTGAAACAATGCTAAATAAAGCAATTGTGTCCACTTATCAATATTTAAAAAATATTGCGGTTTGAATAACATTACTGTTAGAAGTGACGGCTGTTATTCAATGCCGTTCATACACGTATTGTGCAAGAGTTTTTATGCAACATGCATGCTTTAGAAGTGACAGTAGCTTGTTCTCATTTGCTTACAGTAGTTCACTAAGTTCTCACTCAACATCATTGATAGATTCTTAGAAAACAATGTTCTGGTCACAAAAACCTGGCCAAACTTCAAAATAAAACCCCAAATACTTCTAATATTAAACACTGAAGTGAAAGTGAGTTACACATACATTTAAGAAAGACTAGTAAACATAAATAAGATAATTATTCAATTTTTGAGGAACCAGTGAGTGATGGCGGTCATAGTGGTGGTGGGGTTCAATCAAGGAATAAATCTTCACAAAGTGAAAATTGTAAGGAGCACCTCCTCCCACCATGCCGCTCGTAAACAAACAATAACAAATATGGTGGGCTCGCTGAGTACTTTCCTAAGGCATCATTTATTTCATGCACTTGTATAATTATCATACACTGTACACATTTTTATTTGACAATAATTTGTATTAATTCACTCATTCTTTTCCCAATCCCCTTATTCAGTTCAGGGTCTCAAGTGGCTGGAACTTAACCCAGCAGCTCAGAGCACTTTGCATGGGAAAGAACCTGGGAGATGATGCCATCCCATTGCAGGGGGCACTCACACACACCCACACTCACTCAGACTGGGATAATGTAGAAACACCAGTGAAACTGATATACACATCTTTGAGATGCAGGAGGAAACTGGAGTACTGGGGAAAAAGCCACACGGACATGGGGAGGATACATAAACTATACACAGACAGTGGCCTTGCTGGGAATTAATTCTTTTTTCTCATCAACGTTATAAGGAGATGACATTGAACAAAATGATATTACTCAAGGACCTGCTGTACTGTGGATTAATGGCATTTGCTTCTTTACTGTTTTACTGAATTTGCAAGATGTGGCTGTTGAGCAAGACATGTCTAACTTTAGCCCAATACACATATAGTTCCCCACTTACCTGTAGCGTGTTTCCCATCCCTCTCTAGCCAGTACTTCAACAGTGCATGACTCTGGTCTTGAAGAGAGTTGGGATTTTCAATTCGAATTTGATGAATTTGCTCCTCAGTGAAATCCAGTTCTCTTGCTAATTCTAGAAGATAAAATACTACTTTGTAAACACATTAACTTCAACGTTTCAGTCTCTACACCTTGTTTTGTGATTTTGTAAATGATGTGTTCTTTATATTGTGGTGAGTATTTGGGTTCCTTAATTTCTACATATTAGAAGTGATTCTTATGTGCTTTTGTTCTTCTAGTACTAATTATGGATTTTTTCCCCTAAAACTGGGTATAGAATTGATCACTGCATAGTGAAAATAAGTATAAGGCAGTGATGATAAGATATGCATAATTCAGGTCCATTTTATTCCAAAATGCAAACGAGATCATTAATACTTGCTTATGCTTTTAAGCAAGATAATGGAAAATAAATGACTGATAACAAGAGAAAGAAAACATTTCTCCCTTTAATTAACATAGGTGATGTTTTGAGTATTATAAATCCTGTTTCTGGATACTTTGATAAACACTAGCTGTAGCTGTATTATGGTGGTTGGATAAATGCCTGTCTTTGACTTCATGTCAGGTGAATAAGAGGTCGAGGAAGCATTAACTGATCCAGGGAAGAAGACACAAAGTTTTCCTTTGAATTCTACTATTAACATTCCATATAGGTTGGGTGGGCCCAGTAGCTCATGCCTGTAATTCTAGAACTTTAGGCGGCTGAGGTGGTAGGGATTGCTTGAGGCCAGAAGCTCAAGACTAGCCTGGGCAATATAGTGAGACCCCATTTCTACAAAAAATAATTTTAAAAAATTAGCTGGGTATGGTAGTGTTTGCCTGAGGTTCTAGCTACTCAGGAGGCTGGGCCAGGAGGATCACTTGAGCCTGCGAGTTTGAGGTTACAGTGAGCTATGATTGTGCCACTACACTCTGGCCTAGGCAACAGAGCACGATCCTGTCTCAATAAAATAAAACAAAACAAAACAAACAAAATAACAAACAAAAAAACCATTACATATGGATGCTTATACATTATGGAGTGTGCGTATGTGTGTGTGGGTGTGTAAATGGTGTGACCTCTTTTGAAAGCAATTTGACAATATCTTTCAAAATTAAAAATATATGTATCTTTTTCCCAGCAATTCTACTTCTAATATGCCCTATAGATATACTCACAAAAATATGCCAAAGCACAAGAATATTTACTGCCATCACCAGGAAACCACCTAAAGCCCATCAACAAAGGCCATTGATAAAATTATGGAACCTCCATATAGTGGAATTAAATACCCACTTAAAAGAATGAAATACATATGTATATGTTAACACTATGAGGAATATTATTCAGTAAAACTTTTCTTACTTTTAAATAATAGGCATAAATATAGGCACTGTATACTTTTTCTAAAAGCATGAGAAGGTATTAGCAGTTATTTCTGAGGCACACGGCTAGAAGACAGACGTAGGTGTGAGAGTCATATTTACTTTTCATTTTATGTCATTCTATATGGCGGTAGGATGTGAATTTTTACCAAATATATACATATTGCATTTACTATGTAGGTATGGATACAAAGATATTTAAAGAGCAAAATAAATAATTCTGAATGTTATCTAGTAAGTCAGTCAGGGATAGTTTGGTATCATTTTCTTCCCTAAATCCCCAAATTAGTTAAGTCTGATCAGTATGTAAGAATTACTTTAAGATTATTAAAAGTGAGAAAGTGGCCACTTCTCCTGTTTTCAGTCATGTACTCTAAATTATCAGTTATCTTTATGAGTATTATGGGCTCCTATTCATCAACAAATCTAAGAAATGGAAAGGAGAAGAATATTATTTTACAATGTTTGTCTCTTTGAAGTAGTCACAAGTGGTATTAAAAAAAAAAAAAAAAGACTAAAACAAAAAAGCCAGACTGACAACGTTGTTTTACTAGGTTAAGTCACAGGTAGATGAAAATGTATAGTTTTTAAAACCTACAAATCATAATGTGTAAATAAAGTATATTGATTTTAGAATTAACTTTTCCTTAATAAACTATTAACATAAAAATTCTACACATAAACACTCTCATCTCTCAAAAATATTAGTGAAATATCTCATTCATGTGTGTTTTAACACTTACTCAAAGCAAATTTTAGTGCTGTTTCCTATGAAGATTTTTGACATAAGGTATATAAAAGAAGAAGCCCTGGTTAAATCTCACATTAAATATGGTAAAAATTACATCTAAAAATTATTTTGAAACATAATAATCTCCCCCAAATTTAGATATTCACAACTGCCAAAGGAGGTTCCTGAAGGTGGGTATATTCTCTAAATCTTCTAATGGAAAGTTATATTATTCTAAATCTCAGAAATGATAAAAGGCCTGCCCTGGGCTGTATATACCATTAGCTGATGCAGAGCCCAGGTTTTCTAGTACTTAGTTCATTCTTCTTTTCATATATTCTTTCTCAAGAAAGCGAGGGGTACCTTTTATGCTGTGAATGACACTTGACTGATGCATCTATGTCAGGTTTTGTTGAAAACCTGGGTCACATTCTTTTTACCTGTCCAGCTGAAGCCAAGGTGATCAGCAATATAAGCCAGCCTTTCCTCGATCCGTTCCTGCTCATCTTGTGGATCTGGAGAAGGTCAAAAACAGAATGGCCAAAGGTTGTCTATGACAGGAGAGGAACCACAGTACTGATTCATTCAAAGAAAGGAAGTCACTTCTCCAAATATTTGAAAGCACAAACTAGATACTACATTTCAGATCATATTGCATGTCTGATTTCTGGGGTGGAATGGGGAATAGATCTAATATGAATCATGAAAACCATCTGCTTCCATATCTCTTTAATCAAGACTAGTTACTAGACATAATTATATAAGTTGCTGATTTCTACTAATCTTATGACTTTTCTTTTAAATTATTGGAGAGAATACTGCCCACCAAGAAGACCACCATCTTGTTCATGAAACACCAGAGAAATCATAAATGGGATGCAGAAGGGGAGCAATTGGCTAGGACCTTCTATTATTGGTTGTGGAGGGATAGATCATTTCCAGGTCATTTCTGAAAGGAAACACAGCAGGGATTCACAAGAGATGTTGATCATGAGTTGATCAGGCCATCCTGATTAGTGTGGCCAGAAACAGCATTTGGTCCTGGTGACCTTGGAGAAACAGGGATAAAAGCATATGCATTTATATGTGTATATTGTATCTGTATGCATACATGTCTTTGGGGCAAAGTTTCTGCCTTCTTGTTATTAAGCTTATATACTACTCACTCCTATGAACTATAATTTTCCCATTCATGTTTAACTCCCACTGATTGATGGGCAGCATTTTAGACCATGGTATAGGAAATTTTGTATAACCTCAATTTAAGAACGGCAGTCTTCATTGTAGAGATATTGGAAGAACACAGGCTACTTTTCAAAGCCATCTATGGTTTCCTTTTTCATAAGTCAAAGAGCCATCGTCCCCTCACAGTCAACTTAAACTGTGCAAAGTTTGAGTTTTTGTTGTCTGCTGCAGCTAATTAGAGTACATTCTCCATTCATCTACCACATAAATGAAAAGCATATTTTTACCTTAGGTTTGTTTGCTTAAAGTATTTACCAATGGTATCTGAAATCCAACCTTTCTGAATCAAAAACAGATCCACAACAATTAGAATTTCATGTTATGTGAAATCTTCTCAAGCAAATGGCTTCCTAATGATTACAAAATTGTAAGTACAAATTATTTTAAAGTATGCAAAGGTAAGAAGAAAAGCAATGAGTCTTCATACATAAACAAAATACAATATATTCATGTGTAAAAGTGCTTAATTTGAGTCTAAGCTCGGGACTTCAGAACAACAAAACTCAAAGCTCGCATGGCCTTATTACGTGCAGAGGCTAAAGAAAGGCAAGATCACTGTTGCCTGGTTATTATGTTTATGTTTTCCATAAGCATTCTCATTACTCAATCTTGAGATTGTTTTCTTAGACAAGAGTATACAAAGAAAGCACAAAACACAAAGGGCTTACACAAACACATTAGCCACTACAGAAAGCTTAAAGAAAATGAGACACAAATCATCAAATAAAACAACATACAAAAAAACTATATCAATTTTATGACATGCGTAGCACAGGGAATCCCAGTGGCTGGCAAATACCTTCAGCATGGTCATGGCCATTTTCATCAGGGATGCGTTCAATCAGAGTCTCAATAGACTCATCCCAAATGGGCCTTGTGTCAAAGATGTCCTCAGGAACTGAGTGCTCGGTCTCAACAGGTGGCAGATTTTCAATTACTGATACTTCCAGGGCACTACTACTTTCATCATCTGAAACTAGTTCCTGCTCCCTCTCTGACTGTGTCAGCCTATCCACTAACTTGGAAGCCTCATCACTAATCTCCTCAAAGAATTCTATGGAATTTCTGTAAAGGTCAAAGAAATGCTCTTTACTTTCTTTTGTGGGGCTCGTGCCACCCCTGCAGGAAGATGTGGTGCTTCTGCTCTTAACTGGCAATCGGGATGTAAGTATCTTTGGTCTTGTGGCCCCTTCTTCTGATTCTAACTCAAGTTCCTCTGCCCTCTCTCTGCTCTCTGTTTCTGTCTCAGTGTAGCTTCTGGTTTTTACTGGGCATTTGGTCTTTGAGTCCAAAGAACTAGCATCAGATTCAGATTTGCTTCTATTATCTGGTGCGATGCTTGTCATGTCCTGTCCCTGAGGAGCCGCTGTCTCCTGGACAGGGGTGTCTAGATCTGAGAGCTGCTGTTCAACTCTTTGGAGGGGTACTTTGACAGGGAGTTTGGACTTTGGTTTTGCTTCATCCTCATTATTTTCCTCATCTACACTGGATAGCAAGTCTTCAGAAAGGGAACTCTCATACTCTGCAGATGGAGGTGCTGGGGTGGAAGTGGGCATAGTCCTTACAGGAATTTTGGATTTGCTTTCAGTAGAAGGCACATTCTCCATGGGTGCAGTAGGAATTTCAATTACTGATTTCTGTTCTTCTGGGGAAGAATCGGGAGAATCACCACCCCTATCTGAATAAACAGACCTGGTGACTGTGGAAAAATCTAACTGGACTTGTGCAACTGGTTCAGAAGAGTCGGGGCAGGATATCTGCTTTACACCAGACAGAGGAGGCATATCACCCGTTTGCATGGTGGGGAGGTCCTTGGTCCCTACACTAACAGCCTCTTTTGTCGGTGTTTCAGGGGAGGCTGATATCCCCATTTGGGGGTTAAGTTGAGCATCCGAAGCAGGTATTTCCTCTACTTCCTCACTCAGGTCATCTGGAAGTAAGTCTGCCTCATCATCCACTGTTTCTTTTGATTCTGGAAGTGCTAGTGATTCAGTTGATGTCTCCAGCGGTAGGGGCTCAGCCCCAGTAGCCCCTTCTTTCACATCTTCAGAGAGAGTCTCTTCCCTGGATTCTTGACCAATTTGGAAAAAGTGAAAACTTTCATCTGCATACGACCTTTTGGTCATATCAATGGCACCACTTCGGGTCATTTCAAACAATTTTCCTTCCTGAAACAGAAATGGGTTTTGCTCACTTGTTGGGGTCCCCTCTTCAGTTGGGGTCCTAGCAGGAGTGGTGTCAGGGGTGGTACCCTGTGATTGTCTGTCTACCATCAAACCAAATATCTTTTGTTCTTCCTCTTTCACACGAGCCTCAAAAGCTTCATCATCTTCCCGAATTTCACTCCAAGAATCAGAATCCACATCAGTTTTTGTGATGATGACTTTGCTTATTTGTTCACCAACAACTGCTGTTGTAGCTGACATAGTAGGCTCGAAAGATGAAGAGGCATTGTCTGATTGCATTTCCCACAAGGTACTTTCTTGTTGGGATTTCACTTTTATGTCCTGGCCCTCAAAATTAGATTCTGTGCTTAAAACAGTTCCACTAGAGGAGCTTGCCACCACAACGTCTTCAACAGGGGATGTGATGGTAACAGAATACACTTCAGAAGAGTGAAAACTTGTGGTGTGATTTGCATCTGTTTGGGTTTTGCTTTCTTCACTAGAGAAAAAAGATTGGGAAGGGACATTTTCATAAGGGCTAGTTATTTGGCGATCACAGATTTCATCCGTCTCAGCTAGGTCGGACACAGGAACATCCATGGAAAATCTATCTGTTTGAGTAGTAATGGATGAGTCTTGAGTGGGGCAGTCCTTTGGTAAGTTCTCAAATGTTTCATCAGTTTTTGTGATTTCTGTTTTTTGAATAGAAGATGTGGTGGATATGTCTTCGTCTAATTCTTTTCCTTCAGATACCAAACAATGAGGCAAAGAGGACGAAGGTGAAAAGCCTTCACTGGGGCAATCTACTCGTGGAGATTCTGCTCTAGAAACATCAAGCTCTTCTCCTTCTGTGTCTTTTTCATGACTGCCTTGGAGAGCTAATGATTCTTTATAGATGACTGGCTGTTCATCAATATCATCATCAGTTGGACTCTGCAGACCTGAAGAGACAGGAGCAGCTGAGCTGCTAGGACTCATGGCCTCACACCCATGGCCACCACAGATTTCTGGCTGATCAGTGTCTCTGTTTAGCTTATCAAAAGAATTATCTGCAGCTTCAGTGGAAACAGCGTGACTGTCTTCAGCTAAATGGGATTCAGAATCTTTTTCTCCTTCTGATTTACCTGGTTCTTCCTGAATCTCGTCATTCATCTTGAAAGTATATTGTTTGGAAACAATAGGCTGGAATTGTACTTCTTCTGGACTGGAATTGGAGTCCATGCTTGATGGAAGTGGTGAAGGAGGTTGCACTCGAATCACTGGTTCTGGTAAGAGGCCTGAGTCAGCACCTTTTTTTAGCTGTGTCAACTCAGGTTCACTTTCTGAGGAGGAAGACACCTTCCTGCTCTCTGAAGTTACTAACCCAGGGACACCACTTTCATCCTCCCCACTGCCTGTACATTTCGGTTCATCCACGTCTACTGAACAGTCTGCATCTGGGTCAGAGGATGAAGAGGATTCTTCTTGTTTGGGTTCTTTTTTGTAGTCCCTTTTCTGCTTTGCTTCTTGTTCAAGTTCATCAAACATTTTGATTTTGGTTACCATTTTAAACATCTCCTCTTCAGGTGTGAACCTCTTTTTCTCCCCGTTTTCTGAATCATCCTCCTCTGCACATTCATGAATCACAGCTGGTTTTGGTGTACTTACATCTGAGGTTTTGGGTGTAACCTCATAGCTGACTTCTTCGGAGCTGGGGGTGTCGGGAGAAAGGGGACTCTTCCCTGAGCTCTCCATGAGCGACGTCTGCTCAAGACTGTCATCCTCAGCACTGCCGTCAGGGTCTCGGAGTAGCCGGGACCGCACAGAGGCTACTTCCATCAAGAGTTCTGTTTTGGCAACAGCTGCAGGAAGAGGAAAGTGACTTGGAAAAATTCCAGCCTTCATCTTTGGTTCAACAGGGCTGCTTTCCAGAGAGTCACGGCAAGGGGATTCTTTCAGAGGACTTGGCTCCAGAGAATCAGGGGTTTTGTGTGAAGAGTTATCTTCTAGCACAGGGCTGGCTTCCAGAGAGTCTTTGTGGCTCACTGCTAATGAGTCATCAGCCACAGCACTGAGGACTTCACTATCTCGGCTAGGGAGTGCAAGTTCTAACCCTTGGGGACTTCTAATGACTCCTTGAGGCTTTGATTCAGTTTCTGTATCTGTCTTTACAGAAGCCTCAGGCAGCGGCGAGGCCTTTGTCTCATCTGAGGTGGCTGTGGATTCCTGAGCCTCACTATCAGCTTGTGTCTTGTGGGCTGAACTACCAAAGGTAGGTTGACCTTCATCACAGGCTGCCTCCTCAGTCAGTCCTGTGGGTGTCTCTTTAGCTAATGCTACACTACAGCTGCCTGTGCAATCATCTTTTCTTTTAGCGCTTGTGTCTTTGGGAGAGCCTAGAGTGGCCTCTTTCTGAAAACCCTCAGTAGAGGTCTCCGAGCCCTCAGTGACTGTGGCACCTCGCTCTTCAGAGCCACCAGTAATGTCTTTGGTTGTGGGATGCTCTTTTTCTGAATGAATTTCTGTGGTGGTTTCTATCTTGGTGCTTTCCTTTGTTTCCCCAACTTGCTCCTCACTTTTCTTTGGTGAGAAAGAAAGGCTTTCTGGGCTTGTCTCAGGGGTCTCTGCTAGGCCCTCATGCTTATAGCTTTCTTCCGAACTAATCTGAGGGGTCCCCTCCATTAGACTGCCGCACGGAGAGCCGGCTACCCCCTCATTCTTTAGGCTTTCAGAACTGCCATCTAAAGCACCGCTTTGTAAAGACAGAGCTGGAAGGAACTCATCTTTCATGTAGTCGAGTGGAAATGTCGTATTGAAAGGACTAGTGAGTACTTGGTCTAAATGAAGCTGTGCCTTTTCTGTCTCCTCACTCAGGCGAAATTGTTGGTATTTGTCATTGTCTTCCAACTCTTGCTTAATGACCTCAGAGAAGTCAGTGGAGGTTTTCCTATCTGGGCTGATCTGGAGATCCATGTCTCCCTGCTCATCAGCCATTTTTTCTTTGGGGACTTCGCTCTCTCTGTGGCTTTCTCCTTCAGGTGCTGACTGAACAGGTTCAGGTATTTTGCGACTCAGAATTTTCTCCTTTTCTCCAGCTGCATCTTCTTTCTTAACTCCTATAGAGGAAGCACGAACTCCTCTTTTGGATTCCGTCGTGCCCGTTACCGGGAGTCTCTGGCCTCGTTTGATTGTCTGATTCTCTGTTTTCTGAGTTTCTCTCTGGGTTAGTATCGGCCCCTTTTCTTTTTCTATCCGAACTTTACCTTTCTCTTGTGCCTGCTTTTGTTTTGCTGATTTGTGCTCAAAGAGTCCAGTTTTATGTTTAGAAGGGTCCTGACCTGACTGGAAAGCCTTCATCAGCTCCCGAACAGACATGGTTTCTTCGATCCTCTCTGTTTTTGAAGTGGGGGATACAGGTGGTTGCTTTTCTGTTTTGCCAGAAGGTGACATAGGCAGGTGCTTTTCGGTTTTCCCAGCTGTTGATACAGGTTGGTGCTTGTCCGTTCTTCCGGACGGTGAAACAGGCAAGCGTTTTTCTGTTCTCCCAGGCGATACTGGCGGGTGTTTTTCTGTTCTCCCGGAGGGCGATACGGGTGGACGTTTGTCTGTTTTGCCTGAAGGTGAAACGGGTGGGTGTCTTTCTGTTTTTGTAGATGACACAGGGGAGTGCCTTTCAGTTTTTGTCGAGGGTGATACAGGTGAGTGTTTCTCAGTTTTACTCGAAGATGACATAGGTGAATGTCTTTCCGTTTTTGCAGAGGGAGACACAGGTGAGTGTTTCTCAGTTTTACTTGATGGTGATACTGGAGGGTGCCTTTCAGTTTTGGCAGAAGAGGAAAGAGCAGAGTGTCTTTCTGTTTTAGAGGAGGGAGACCCTGGCGCATGTCTCTCTGTCTTCAGAGAGGGTGATGCCGCTGGATGTGTCCTGTGAGTGGTCTTTTTTGGCACGTCCTCCTTGCCTTTGACTCTGATGGGCAACTTGCTTCGACCTTTCTGTTCATCTTCCACTCGCTTCTGAAGGGCCTTTACTTTGTCCTTTATGGAACCAATGGGAGTTTCTTCTATCAAAGGAGATGTGGCCTTGACAGTGGGAAGAGGTTCAGGGGCTAAACCTGGGTCTTCATCTAATGACTCTTCTGAACTACCTTTTTTAAGTTCAGCTTTCTCTGCACTAGCTTGTAAACCTTCCTCTTTTTGTTTCTGCTTTTCTTTTAATTTCCTTCTTACTGGCTTCTTTATTCCCAAGCTTGGTTTTTGCTGTTTCTGTGTACTCTGTGTCTCATCTGGGGGTATGTCTTTCCCTTCCTTTTCAGAGCTCTTGCCAACAGCCAGAGCCTCACGTTTCTTCCCTGCCTTATCCTGAACTGTCTGTAGCTGCTCTGAGTCTTTCTCTACTTTTCCTTTTATCTCTTTATCTATTCTAACTTCTACAGATGGATATTCAGTGATTTCTAAAGGTGCTTTTTGCCTAGCCTCTTCTATTTCCTCATCACTGACAATAACCCATTCCTCTTCCACTAATCCTCTCTCAGACCGAGAGCTCTGCACACTGCCTTCATCTCTTGTGCAGGTTCCACTTCTCAGGATTTCATTCACTTTCTCTAAGTCCTCTTTAACTCTTTCAACGATTTCAAAAGGCTCTCCTGGCTCTTCCTCAGCAGCCTTCACCAGCTCCTTCACTTTAATAGAACCTGCCTTATCAGACACATCTGTGGTCAAGATGGCGGTCATTTTGATCAAATCTTGTTTCATCTCAGAAACTTCAGAGAGCAAGTCCGGACTTGCTAGGACAGGAACTTCATTAACGAGGTGACTTTTCAGGACAGATGTTTCTGTAGATTCTGTCTCATCATCTTTGATGTGAATGAAAAACATTGAAAGTAAAATGGAAATCAAAAAATATATTGGCAAATGTAATCAGGACTGAAACGACACAGCGTCTTTTCCTGTGGTGGTGGTGGGAGGGGCAACAAAATGGGCTGGGAATGGTAGATCCACAAGGCCTCAGGGTACAAGAGCAAAGCAAGGCTAACGGAAAAAAAACAACTGAAAAGGAAAAATGAGCAGGAAATAACTTGCTTAATTTTTCTCACTTGTAGCACATCCACACATACAACAAAGCTAAAACAAGACATACGCACACAAAAAAAACACTACGTATCAAAACAAAGAACGCAGTGAAATTACACAGAGGTATCTCAAGATTGTTCAGACGTTACAGATCAATGTTGAAGAAAAAAAAAACATGGAGAAAAAATAAGAAAAAAAGCATTAGAAATTGCAGAAAGTTGATTTCCTCTAGGAGAAAGCCAGTAGTAGCAAGCTCAGAAAAACATCTAATGATGTATATACATTTTTAATCATATAAAAATCTGAAATTCAGTATGTTTAGTTCTACCAATATACAAAGACTATATAAAATATATCTGCATCAGCTGCAAACCGGCATTTCATCTAAGGGAAATTCACACCTAACAATGAAACAGACACTCTGGTGCTAAGAGGCATGGTCCTTTCCTTGGAGCAACCTCCTTGTTGAGACACAGAATGGAAAGACCAAGGAGGGAAATAAAGGAAAGGAAAGAAAAACAACAGAAACAACAATTGTGATTAAACTTATAAGTGAGTCCAAAGTTAAAATGTGATGCATGGCAACCCAAGTCAGAGACAGTCACACAGGACACACACACAGTTTATGTAAGCCAAGTTATTTCCATGCAAAGCAAAGGTGGAGTAAAACTGCTGGGAGAGGCGGCCTTGCTGAAACGCATGGGCAGGAGGATGGCAGGAATTTAGAACAGATATGTAAAATGTTACTGTGGCAAAGTGTACTTATTTCTCTACGAGTCCATGCATAAGCTGCTGAAGGTGGTATACTGGAGGCTTAGGTTGTGGGGGCTTATACACATTAAAGGTAAGGAAGAAAACTCAGTAAACTCTTCTAAAATGTGCTCATAAAAAGACTTCAGGTAAGAGTCCCTTCCACAGAGCCCTTCTTTAGAGATTAGTTTATACATAGATGAAAATAATCTAATGATTATCTTTAAAACAAAAGCAAACATGAGTCTGTATTTAAAACGTTTGAAACACTCAAAACACCTAGAAATCCTTCAGGAAAATCCATGGCATTATAGCAACATGGTAACATTTTTTATCTTTCTTTTCTTTCTTTCTTTTCTTTTTTTTTAACAATTGAGCCATATGGATGAATTAATTTTTAATTCTTACTAGTTTGTATTGGGGAGCAAAGTAAGAGGCCATTTAAATAAATGGAGTAGTTCTGAAGAAGAAAGTGAGAGAATAAAGTAAAATCACTTAAAAAAAGGAATCAATGAAGGCAGTGTGACATGTCATATAAACAAAAGTGCCTTCTCTTGGGAGAATCTGTGTTTGTTGAGGAGATACAGTATGTGAATATGTGAATATTCCAGATCTGAATAATGCTTTAACATGAAGGTAAGCCTCATTCAAAGCAACTTCAAAAACCTGGTAGTAAATTACATTGTCCTAGGACTTTTTAAAAAAAGCCCTCAGATCATTGTATAGGACCAAATGAGCATATTGAACATGGTTCTAAGTTTTCTCATTTTAGGACTATACTCTGAAATACAGCAAATCAAAATAAACTCTGAAATAAAATTTACTGATATTCAATAAACTTTAAAAATCATATTTTTAAAAAGCATTTGGGGCACGAAAGCAGAAATCTGTAAAATTCAACTGGAGCTTCCACATAAGAAGCCAGAGAGTCACTAGAAACAGTCCAACAAACTAAAATGTTAATTGGCTATTACAAACCTGAAATGAGTTCTATGACAGCTCTTTTAAGGTCTGTAAAAAACAGTTCTCCCTACTAGATCAGGTTTGGGATTTGCATCATTATTTAAAATTAGCCCTATAATAATATGCTGTTGTGATTAGTAACTTTATTCAGGGGGTTTTAATTTTTGCATTCTTGGCCCTTCATTTTTGTTTATTTTTGTTTTGTTTTGTTTTGTTTTCAGAAAGTTTTCACAGAAGTCTGTTAGACCTCAGCTCTAAAGACGTTGGTTACACTTCACCACAGTAAAAAGTGCAAGAGTGGGGTGGGGGAAGGGGCAGGCATTGGATGGGGTTAGCTTCAGCTAAGAACTATTAGACAGTATCACTTTTGCAGTTGTATCCTACAAAAATAATGAGCTCTCTACAGAAGTCACTATTGCATTACATAAAAAGTGATACTGTCATGTCAGTGCTTAAAAAATAATGAGATGACAATGTTATGCTAACAAATGGACAAAACGGTAGGGTGGGTTTCTAAACAAGCATAACAGCAATACCAGGGTTAACAAGGATGTCAAAAGAAAGTGAATGCTTAGATGAATAATCATTGCATTTTACTGCTAATTAGCTCGCAAATCAGGTATATTTGTAATTTAACTGGCCAAGCTGCTTTTATAAATATATTAATGATTAATAAGGATAATATAAAAATTTAATTACTATAGTGGTTAGTAATAGCAACTAGCTTGCATTTTAATTCATGCTTCTTTTTATGGTAGCCAGCTTTCAGACAAACTCAATTTTCTTTAAATTCTTACTTTTTTCTGATGTCATATCGATCTGAAAGAAAACATACATAAATTGAATGGTTACAAATACTGCCTTGGCTGATAGCCCCTGGTGTGCACAAAAAGCTCCTATCCGTAATTATACATGTTGGGTGACACCATAGCTATAGGAAGGTCAGAGTAATTTGCTACAGTTTTTCCTGACAGTCTCCATGATTCTTATCCTGACTTTGGAAAAAAACTTCTGTTTTCTAGACACTACAGGTAGAAAGTCCTTTCTAGCATGTTAATCCTGGGAAGATATGACCCAGGCTGGTTTTGATGTTGGGATACATATTTATTAGGGAATAAGTCAGAAAAAGGGTGAAGTCAGTATTAAATAATAAGTTTCCATTTAGTGGAGAAAAAGGAAAGGATGAGAAACAGCAATGCTAGGGTGATATGTTCTACAGAAGTAGTTTCATTATCATTAATAATAAGTCAGCATTCCAGATACTGAAAAGAATATGAACTGGATCTATTGTCCTGAATAGTTCCAGAAAGTATTCAGTAGGAAAATCATCTAACAGATTTTTTTGTTAGAAAAATTGGCTTCCCTATCATTTTTAACAGCTGTGGTGGTAGGGTCACTGAGTACAGGAAGGAAACGGAGTATGTGAAGCAAAGAGTGACTGTGCAGTTGAGGGAAAGAATGACTTCAGTCTTAAGTCGGTTGTGTATATGGCTATGTACGGCAGGACAGTGAGTCTATAATCACCCTTCTCACCCTGCTCCATTGCCAAGGTATCAGAAAAAAAGTGAATCCAGGGGCATCTTCTGAACTGATAAGGTCTTACATTTTAAGCTGGTGGGTATAAGTGTATTTATTATATTTTTTTATATTTTTTATTTTGAATGCATTGGAATAACATTTAAAAAAAGAAAACTAGTATATTTGAAAACATTTACATAAAACTAATAACATATGCATCTGTCTATCTTAGAAACAAATACATTATTTTAAGTTTTCCAATTATGTTTTTCATTTCTATTATAATATTTGGGCATTTGCAGATCTTTATAATGGAGACAAACACACATTTGCTTTAAATATTGAAGCAGGTTTAATTCATATAGCTATTTATTCAAGGTAACCTCTCTAAGATTTGCTTTCTTCATCTATAATGTAATATTTAATAACAAACACCTCATAGGTGGTTGTGAGAGATCGATATTGATGAGGCATGTGCAACACTTAGTAAAGATCCCACTTTATAAGAAATTCTTATTATTAGCATAGTTCTGCATTATAATATTATAGCCCAAGGAATCAACTATATGCCTCTTAAAGTCTTTTGGTCTCAGTGTTTATCAAACTCTTTGGTCTTAGGGCCCCTTTACACTCCCCAAAATTACTGAGGAGCCTGAAAAACTTCTGATGGTGAGTGATATGTATAAACAGATACCTGTATTACAAATGAAGTCTAAGAAAATGCTAGAACCTAAGAGTATGCAAGCATACATTCCACTAATTGCCAGAGTGGCAATGTCATCACATGTAGTATAGACTCTGGAAGACTCCTCTATAGTTTGTGAGGATATAGAAGTTTAAAAGGCAAATAATGTCTTAGTACATTAAAAATGTAGTACATTTTACTAAATGTAGTAAATTAAAAATTAATTAATTAAAAATTAAGACATTAATAATGTCTTAGTATAAAAAGAGTTTCAACCACTAGATGTCTTCCGACTAAGAACTCCTGAGATAATGGTTTAGCTCTCAGTAGTTGGTGGAGAAAGATAGTATTGCATAGAGACATGGCAACAGTTTATAGGGAAACTTTACTATTCCCTTAAGTTGCTCCACAAGATGAGAAAACAGAGGCTTAGAGAGGTTAAGTGAAATTGTGCCCCTTTAATTACTAAGAAGAACCGCCTACCCCTTCTAAGAACACAGGTTAACTATGTGCTCTTATTAGTGGTTACAGCAATGACACAGCCGTTAACAAGTGACACTGTCATAAAATTACCTCTTCCTCCTGTTCTTGATCTGACTCTGATTCCTTTCCGCCCCAAGATGCCATGCAAGATGGAAAAAAGAGAGAAGGAAGAGTAGAGAGTATTTAGAAGAAAAGGAAAGAGTAAATAAATACCCTTTCAACAAGCATCAACAGGCAAGCATACAGTCAGCATACTCTTTTTTTCTTACTAACAGTTTATAGAAGACAGGCAGAAAAGAGGATTGGCTTAAATACAAAGTTTATAGATTCAAGAGACAAAAGAACCAATATTATAAATTTACTAATTTCAGATACTAGGTCACCACAGCAGTCTCAAAGTTTGACCTTAAATGAAGTGGATGGCATTTGTCTTTAGAAATAGTGATGATAATATCCCAATCATTACAGATATTGGTTGAAAATATTAAAAGCTACAAATAAGCATGTATATTTTTATATATGGTGAAAAATTTTCAATACACAGGCAATATTTAGAAGCGTTATTCTAACAAAGAGCTACTAAATTCTTTCTTTTCTTTCTTTCTTTCTTTCTTTCTTTCTTTTTTTTTTTTTTTAATAGAGACAGGGTCTTGCTATGTTGCTCAGGATGGTCTTGAACTTCTGGACTTAAGCGATCCTCCTGCCTTGGTGTACCAAAGTGCTGGGATTACAGGTGTGGGCCATGGTGCCCAGCCAAGAGCTATTAAATACTAAGGTATATTTTCAATATACAATCTCTGGCATTTTTTTTTTCTTTTTGAGTTACAAATTAGAAAATTGTACTGGACTATCACAGCATTAATAGCTGTGTCTGCTGTGTCTTGACTTAGAAATAAAATGTAATAATAAAGTTAATGCTTTCTCTTAGAGCACACTGAAAGCTCACTGAAATCAGCCAAAGCTCAGTCATCTTTCTGTAACACTCAGGTGGCTTGCCCGCAGCAGTACATATTTCTTTGTGGCTCTTATTGGCATACTGCCTCCGCTGACTCACTACTAATCAGCAATACAAACCCCAAAACACATTCTGCACCATCAAAATGCAATGAAATTATGCTCATTTGGGTTGACATACCCATTTCTATATTTTAATTCTTGGAATAAAATGTATATTTACATATATAAATAATATTTTATTTTATTCATTTAATAAAAAGTTACAATGTCAAACCTAATGCTATGAGCTTTTCTCTATATGGTTGATCTCTATTTACAAAGAATAATTCATTAAGCAAATATAAAATTTGACAATTGTGGTGGGGAAAAAGAAATATGGGACATTTTTTGTTTTCTGATGTCAAGATTTAGGATTTTAAATGTATCCCTACTTCCCCTCCAGGTCTCAGCAGCCGTCACTCATCACCCTGCCCAACCTGTTATATAGACACTGACAACTTCTGCATCCACCTATAGATTGCCATGTGGGAGCTTCCTATTCAAAAGAAATATTGGTTAAAAAAAGTTTAAAAGAATGAAACATAAATTATCCACAACATTTAATTGATTTAGTTGTCTTCTTTGATTTCATCAGAGTATTCAAGGAATTACGTGATGGGGAGAGGTTTGAAAAGAAAATAATTCCTGTAGGTAGACTTGGGGTCAGAATTAATGTGTTTTTTTCTTTTCAACAATGTTTTAAATCTACTCCTCATAACATGGCGATATGTTTTTTACTAATCAACTATTTCTACTATTTTTTATTCTAACTAACAATTTACACAAGTTATGTTGCCTAATCTGCCCTTGAACTCCTAGGCTCAAGTGATCTTCTCACCTCAGCCTCCAGAGTAGCTGGGACTACAGGTGTGCACCAACACACCAGTTTATATACTCCTAAAATATGATAAGTTAGAAGATTAATAATTACTTAGAAAAAATAAAATATCACGGGGCAGCTCTGAATTTAATAATATGTAAGCCACCTGTGAATTGGTAGTAAACAGAGGCTGATGAACTCTAATATTTTCATAGGGCCAAATGTGCTAGTATGGTTTCAGGAAAGCACATGAAAACAATAATGAAGAAAAGCCAATTAGTTTTAAAAATTTCTTCAAAAAGTTAAATCTGAAGTCACATTTTCTTACTTCCATGCCCATTGTGTATTAATAGAATTTTTGCATCAAAGTGCATTTAATGTGAAATCAGGTGGCACTATGATTTTTCTTAAGTGGAAATTGTAAATTTGACAGAGAATCAAACGTGATTATTACATGTGCTTTCATTCAGTCTTTGTTTGTATTCATTTTCTTGGTCAGTGCAAAAGTAATTGCTGTTTTTGCCATTACTTTTGCACTGACCTAATACAAGATTTAAAAATCAATTCCTACACTACCTGAATTGCACTATAGCAGATTTTACAATACCTTTGTATAAATCGGCAAAGTGATGTTTAAGTTGCAAATAGCTTGATGCACCAGGCCTCTTGTGGATTTTGGCTCCTTCATAAATGATAGTCGTCCGCAGGGTTCCTGAGTCGTATCGCGTACCTTGAACAAGACAGACATACATGCTTCACCCATATTTGACGTGCAGTATTTACTTTAACTAGATGATGCTTGAAAAGGGAAAGTAAAATTCATTTGTTAATGCTAGGTAAGAACTCAAAGGATTTCCTTTCTCTTTTCCTATTACCATTTGGAAAGCCTTTTTAAAAATCATTCAGCTTTCTTTTTTAGTCTTATTTAAGTACAGTAGACAAAAATTGCATATATTTAAGGTGTACAATGTGATGATTTGATATATGTGTACATTGTGAAATGATTAGCGTATCAAACTAATTAACATATCAACCACCTCAACCCCCTTTGTGTGGTGACACTTGAGATCTCTCTTAGCAAATTTCAAGTATGTAATACATTACATACAATTAACTATAGTTCAATGCTGCACATTAGGTCTTCAGAACTTAGCTCTTAAAATAATTGTGGTAAAATATACATAACATACAATTTGCCATTTTTACTATTTTGAGGCAGAAAATTCAGTGGCATTAAGCACATTCACAAAGTTGTATAAGCACTACCTCTATCCAGAACGTTTTTCATCCTATGCAGAAACTGTCCCCATTGAACAACAGCTCCCCATTGCCCTCTTGCCCAGCCCCTAACAACCTCTATTCTACTTTCTGTCTCTATACGTTTGCCTATTCTAGGAACGTGTAGAAATGGAGCCATATAGTATTTGTGTCTGCCTTACTTTACTCAGCATAATGTTTTCCAAGTTCATTCATATTGTATCATGTGTCAGAATTTCATTCCTTTTTAAAAAAATTGTAATAAATATATGTAACATAAAACTTATCATTTTAATCATTTTTAGGTGTCTAGTTTGGTGGCATTAAGTACATTCACATTATTGTATAATCATCACTACCTTCCATCTTTGGAACTTGTTAATCTTCCTAACTGAAATTCTAGTATCTATTAAACAATCATTCCCCATTCTCCCCTTCTCCTGTCTCTAGCAACTACTCTTCTACTTTCTATCTTTATTTCATTTCAAGGAGAGGTCAAAAAAATAAATTAAAAAAAATACTTTCTCTCTTTATGAATTTGACTACCCTAGGTATCTCATATAAGTGAAATCATACAATATGTGTCCCTTTGTGTCTAGCTTATTTCATTTACCATATTGTAGCACAAATTAGAATTTCCTTCCTTTTAAAGGCTGAATAGTATTCCACTACATGTATATACCACATTTTGTTTGTGGACGTTTGGACTTCTGGGTTGTTTCCATTCTGGCTACCATGGCTAACGCTGCTAAGAACATTGGTGTGCAAGTAATTGAGTCTCTACTTTAAATTCTTGTCAGTGTACACTGAGAAGTGAATTGCTGAATCATATACTAATTTTATATTTAACTTTTTGAGGAAAAACTGTAGTGTTTTCCAAAGTGGCTGCACTATTTTGCATTTCCACTAGCAATGTATTAGGTCCCCAAGTTGTCTACATCCTTCCTAACATTTGTTTATTTTCTGTTTGTTTGTTTTAATAATAGCCATCCTAATGGGTATGGAGTGGTATCTCTTCATAGTTTTGATTTGCATTTCCCTACACTGTTGAACATCTCTTCATGTGCTTATTGACCATCTGTGTATCTTCTTTGGATAAATGTCTACTGAAGCACTTTGCTCATTTTTTATTGGGTTGTTTGGAGAATGATTCTGCACACCAATGATATCAAACATTAGCTTAATTATATAGCTGTCTATGTTAAATGGATCCATTACCCCGAGCAGTTACTGCTTAATGTGGTGATCTGTAAGAATCTATCATCAGTCAGGCAAAACAATTGAACCAGAAATGGCACAACGAGAGAGACTCAGCAGAGATCTTTGGAAAACTCAATAAGAGGTTTGCAAACACAAGTTTGGAAAGAAAATAAGGGGTTAAAATAAAAAGAGTCATTGCTGATGAACAATTGGAAATGAGTAGGTGAAGTAGGACTGGAAAAAAAAAGACAGAAGCCAGCCTATACCTGATAGGATTGAGCGTTAGGACCACTAGATTAGCGAAATAAATTGTGAGAAACAAGAAAAATGAGCTTGGAAAATAAAGCAGAGTAGAATTATTACCTCCTTTTTATTTCCTGAATCTCTTATTCATTCATTTGTGATCCCTTAGAGATTGGAATCTAAAATGAAACCTGCATATATCACCTCAAATCCCTAACTCGGATTAGGGATTTGTTGTCTCTGTTTAGAGATGCACACACACATGTCTCCATGCTGTTTATTGAATGAATTTATGAAAATATATCACGTCTATAGCTCTATCGGAGATAATTTCTTATTAGCTTAAGTGAGACCTGGGTCTTTTGAGAGATTTTATTATAAAAAGTTGCCACTTAGAACTCTTTTGATCTCCACACTTGTGAAGTTCACATATATTTTTAAATCTAAGCATAAATATTTAAAAGTTTTAATAGATAAACAGACTTTCCTTCAAATTTGGAAAATACTGATCACTGTGCCTAATTAATGAGTTGGCTATTATTTGTCCTGTTCTCATCCTTAAATATAGTCTATAAAAATTCAGGTTGACTTTGAACCTCAAAAATAAAAATGATTGGTTTCCCAGGGCAGTAAAACATTACAAATATGGTTAAAAAGAAAACTCTGAAGATGACTGAAAAGCAAAAATTTTCTGTTACTAAAGTCAAATTCTTCCTTGATCTTGAAAAAAAGACATCATGAAATTCCATATATGTATTACCTTGACAAATAGAGGAAGTCTATTTTCTTTGAAGGCAAAAAAACTGAATATATGATGCTGGCCACTTTTAGTTAATGGCACCAAGTTGCCGAAACAATCAACATAGATGGGTTTTCCTTCTAACACCTGAGTGAAAACAGAGAAATAACAATAAAGTAGCTGCAATTACAACTTGTTGTTTACACAAGGAAGTGGTAGTACTACTTGGAACTTCAAATTCTTATAATACACATACAACAATCTTTAAATTGACAACTGACATTCTATCTGTGGCACAGCATGTCCAGTGCTTTTTCTTCTTATTAGTAATGGGAATCATTAATGCATGGTAGCATATAATGCTCTCATTGTAAAAACTGTATCCCATTATTCCACAAACCCAAAATACATTTAAATCCTAAATTTAACTTAGGCTTGGGTAATTTTTTTTTTTTTTTTTTTTTTTTTTTGAGATGGAGTCTCACTCTGTTGCCCAGGCTGGAGTGCAGTGGTGTGATCCTGGCTCACTGCAACCTCTGCCTCCCGGGTTCAAGCAATTCTCCTGCCTCAGCCTCCTGAGTAGCTGGGATTACAGGCGTCTACCACCATGCTTGGCTAATTTTGTATTTTTGGTAGAGATGGGGTCTTGCCATGTTGGCTAGGTTGGTCTCAGACTGGTGACCTCAGGTGATCCACCCACCTCGGCCTCCCGAAGTGCTGGGATTACAGGCGTGAACCACCACGCCTGGCCTGCTTGGGTAACTTTTGGCATTGTAATGAGTCAGGTTACTGGACTTCAACACCCAAAGACCTACACTGATGGAAAATTCTGAAATAAGAAAAAGTAATGTAGAAAAGCACTAGACATCCTGCTTCAACATTTATGCAAAAGGATATACTTCCCAGACTGTTTTAGTTACTATTAAAAAATAAGGACAACAAGGAAAGCTAAAAACATCTAAAGTACTACAGTCACTTACATACTTTGAGTTTATCAATAACTCATAATTTTTCCTCAAATAATCTTTAAAGGAATCATCTTTTACCTTCTCACATACACCAATCAGTCCCACTGAATAGGTCCAAAATGACTAAAAATGGCAGATTTTGGATATTGACCTTCTAACTGATCAAGATGTGCACTGGTCTTTCACTTTTTAATTATTCTATTTATTAAATTATATTTGAAATGTAATCTATTAATACAGGTATAACAGCATGGCATAAATTATTATTATTATTTTTGGTACAGTACCTCCACATCCCTGCTTCTGGCCACCTCAGCAAAATTTTCTTGTTGTTCAAGGGTCTTATCTACTTTATCATCAGTCATGCAGAAACATCTCAACCTGGCTTCAATTGGGTCATGTGACTTGGCAAACACTACAAATTTGGCCATATAAGGTACGCAGATAATTTCTCTATATACTTGTGATGCAAAAGTGACGGATTCCTGGATCTGTCGACAATCTATCAGCCAGAACCTAATAAAATAAATAAAGTCAGTTATCTAAAGTTCAAAGTATACCACGTGAAAAATCAGTTCCTGCAATATGATCAAAGTAGTCAACAAATGCTTCTTGGAAATAAGGAAGTGAGAGAGGGAGATAATGAAAGAAAGTCAAAGGAAAGCAAAAGCAAGACAGGAAAAAAAGGAAAGGTAGGAGGATAGATGGGGAGGCAGAAGGGAGTGAAGAGAAGACAGAAAGACATCAGGTTTTTAAGATCAACTATTAAATATTGTATTTCTAATTTTCTTTTTTGGAAACTCTTCTGAATATTCAATTTTCTGAACTATATATTTAGTGTTTTAGAATCCTTTAGTGGAGTGAGCTCAATAGCAGACAGAAGACAAGGATCTCACTGCACGGTTTTCTATTTTCCTTGATTCCCCCTCCCTAGCTGTCATTTCATTTCCTGAAACTCTTTTCAACAAAATCTATCCAGCTTTTCCTCCCCTCATTATTCTTTTCCAAGGAACTCTCTAATCACCAAAGTGGAATCAACCCAACCATTTTTTAAAAACTGCTCCAGAACTCCTAAGTATTGCTGAATATAATTCATAGAAGAAATTATTGGCTCTAATTAATGACTTGATGATTTCCAGCCTCAACTAAGTCTGTGACATTGACTGGCAATTTTTTGCTCACTATAGTAATGTTACTAAATCTTATGACACTCTTTAAACTTCACCCCTCACCACAGGCCGTAAGAGAGCTAACTTCACAAAGAAAGTCAAGGTCATTAGATGGAAATATTTTCATTTTGTTATTTTATACTTCCAAAGGGTTTTTTTTTTTTTTAGACGTTGTCGCACTCTGTCACCAGGCTGGAGTGCAGTGGCGCTATCTCGGCTCACTGCAACCTCCGCCTCCCGAGTTCAAGCAATTCTCCTGCCTCAGCCTCCTGAGTAGCTGGGACTACAGGTGTGCACCACCACGCCCAGCTAATTTTTGTATTTTTGGTAGAGATGGGGTTTCACCATGTTGGCCAGGATGGTCTCAATCTCTTGACTTCGTGATCTGCCCACCTCAGCCTCCCAAAGTGCTGGGATTACAGGTGTGAGCCATCACACCCAGCCCTTCCAAAGTCTTATTCTATATTCTTGTGCTTTAGAACATTTTGCCCATGATTACTGTCCTTCCCCGGCCCATTTCCCATAATTTGAAATTATCATTACTAACATTTTTTAATTTTGTTTTTCGATTTCTGCATCTTAAAGTCATGAAGTTTTCTTATGCTCTTACCCTCTCTTTCTTTCAAGTTCCTGACCCACCTGTCTTTTATTCTTACTATGCTAAAATATACATAACATAAAATTTACCATTTTAACAAATTTTAAGTGTACAATTCAGTAGCATTAAATACATTCACAATGTTGTGCAACCATCATCAATATCCATTTTCAGAACTTCTTCATCACCCCAAACAGAAACTGTACCCGTTAAATAACTTCCTATTTCCCCCTTACTTCAGTCCCTTTAAATCTCTATTAAACTTTCTTGTCTCTATAAAGTTGCCTATCCTATGTACCTCAAATAGGTGGACTCTTGCAATGTTAGCTCTTTTATGTCTGGCTTATTTCAATTAGCAGAATGTTTCTAATGTTCAGCATAGTTCCCAGCTCATGGCGAGCACTTGGGTACCTTCCTCTTTCTACTGACCTAATTCTGTTCACTGTTTCTTCAATTGTTTGGTAGTTAAATTATTAGTAAAATAACATAATTCCTCCTCATTTTTTGGATATTTTAATTGGCTTTATTTTATTTACTTATTTTTTACATGTTCTCACAAAATAGCTGACTTTTTAAATGCAACTGCTTTTTTAAAAATTTTAATATTTATTTATTTATTTATTTTTGAGAGAGAGCCTCACTCTGTCCCCCAGGCTGGAGTGCAGTGGCGCGATCTCGGCTCACTGCAAGCTCCGCCTCCTGGGTTCAAGCTATTCTCCTGCCTTAGCCTCCCAAGTGGCTGAGACTACAGGTACGTGCCACCATGCCTGGCTAATTTTTTTGTATTTTTAGTAGAGATGGGGTTTCACCGTGTTAGCCAGGATGGTCTTGATCTCCTGACCTTGTGATCCACCCGCCTCGGCCTCCCAAAGTGCTGGGATTACAGGCATGAGCCACCATGCCTGGCCTTATTTTTTTATAGTATTTTTATTTTCATGTAGTTCTGGGGCTTTTGGTAATCTTTAAATTGCCAAATAAAAATTGTATATATTTATGGTGATTTATCACTTCTTATTCTACCCTGTAAGACCTTTCATTAAGTGTTGCCAACCAATAGTCCTACATTTTGTTTGTTGTTTTGTTTTGTTTTGCTTTGTTTTGGTTTTTGTTTTGAGATTAAGTCTCTGTCACCCAGGCTGGAGTGCAGTGATACAATCATGGCTCACTGCAGCCTTGACCTCCCTGGGCTCAAGAGATTCTCCCACCGCAGCCTCCCTGGTTCCTGGGACTACAGGTGTGCGCCACCAAGTCCAGCTAATTTTTGTTATCTCTTTCGTGAGAGACAGGGTTTCACCATGTTGCCGAAGCTAGTCTTGAACTCCTGGGCTCAAGTGATCCACCTGCCTTGGCCTCCCAAGGTGCTGAGATTACAGGCATGAGCCACCAGGCCCAGCCTCAAGCATTATTTTTGAATTATAGACTACATGGATAATTGTTGCTATCCCTCACTACACCTTCTCATTCTATCTTTGCATCTTTGCTCATGTTATTCTTTTTTCCACTTTTATCTGCCTATTAGGTTCCAACACATGTCTCGATTCACCTCTTCTCAGATACCCTCTCTAGCTATCCCAGTTAGAACACCCTTCTCTCATTCTTTTACTCCTTCTGGTCTATACTTCTTATTCAGAACACGTCATCTTCTGGATTACAGTATAGATGCTAAATTGGCAAAACACATTGAAACACAGAACTGTAGACTCAATAGTTGAGTCTCTGGGTGACTGGAACTATAAACATGTGCCACCACACCCAACTATTGCTATGCCATTACTTAACTATTCGTGCACTTTTATCTTTTCTCCCTCACCCCAAATAGGAATGTACATTTTAATTACTCTCAACTTCAGTTTTCTCATCTGTAAAATGGGCATAACGTCTCTTGCCCTTCTTAAGTCACAAAGTTGTTGTAATGTCAAGTTAAAGAGCGGTAACAATGCTTATCAATCAATTAAAGACCAAACGAATGGGAATTAACTTTAATCAATTGAGTTAACGTGTGCATAAGCAATAAAACTAGACTGCTTCACCGTTTTAAAGATGCATAATACATAAATAAGAAATGTATATAAGAGCCACTGAAGCCTCTAAGCCTTTTAGAGAAACCATGGTGAGATTTGTGCTGCTATGATTCTGTTGGAAAAGTAGTTCAGGCTATTTTGCTGACAACAGGAAATTATCATTCCTAGGGACTTTGGAAGTAGAAAAAGCAGCAACTGCTACTGACCAAGAATCATACAGGCAAAGCAGACAATCACTTCTTTTCCTTAGATTTTAATCGGATTGGTAGTACTTTGTTACTGTATTATCACTATTCTATTTGCTGACAGATCTAGTTTAAAATATTAAAGCAAAGGCAGGCCATATTTAAAATCAAATGAAAAAATAACTTTCAAACAATAAAGAAACAAAATAAAACAAAACAAAGGGCAGTTTTTTTGGAAGGGAACATATCATAGGGGGCTTTTCTGTGCTATATAACGATACCTGGCAGACACGTTTGTTGTAAAGGAAACACATTCATTGACAAATGTTAATGGCGTAGTTCCTGTAATATCTTCCCACTGAGCAGGGGTGGTTCCACCTGAAATAATACGATTGTTGAAAAAAATCAGGCAAAACTCCAGACTCTAGATTCTAAAATAAAGTCTTTGTGGTTCTGTCTGTGTTCACCAGCCCAATCTAACCTCTCAAAATGACACATTGAAAACAAAATGAATAAAACCTACATGTGAAAAAATGACACATTGAAAACAAACAGCAGACTAACACTCAAGAAACTAAGCTTTAGGGTAGTTATTTAAATAAGTGTTTATTAAGCCTTCTTTTTACTTCTATAATAAAAGTAAAAAGCTTTTATTATAATTGCTAGGCTCTGAAGATAATTTTGAATTGTATACAGCTGATTATTTTAAAATATCCTTTGACCAGCTAAGGAGCTGAACACTTTGTTAAAATAGTGAATATTTTAACTATTCTAACTAAATATTCTTTTGTTCCCATACTTCATATTTTAAGCAATTGTTTTCAAAAAATTTCCTCTCAATGTGCAATAAAAGTTTGGCCCAAAAAAGTTTGTAAAATAGTAAGAGCTCAATAAATATTGCAAGGTAAATGAAAAAAATAAATGAATGTCAAAGGATGACCCCTTTACATTGAAAAATTACCATGAAGGCTGATGGTGACTGCCTGTCTTTCATTTCTACTGAGAAATTAAGATCACATAGATAAGGACAAAATTTTAGTTCAATGGGCTGTAAGAGGAATATATGTTTGAAATGAAGGAAAGTCTTGACTCTAAAGTTTCTTAAAGAAGAGAACAAGTTATCAAAGAAAGGTTATGGAATTTTATTCCAGTAGGCCTTTAAAATACATACTCAGCATAACTATATGACACAGAAGAATACAAAAACTCAAATGTCTAGGTATTTAAACAATTAATACATTAAATTATTTGTTAATTTTCAAAATGATTTTAATTAAATTTCAGAAATGTTTATGAGAAACCTGTCTAAAGACATTGGGCTGGAATAAATAGAGTAGATGGTGTCTAGGCCCCTATAGTGTCTTTATTTAATCACTATAAGGGCAGGGCATATCACAGATATTCTTCTGCCTCACCTGTTTCACATCCATGACATTATATTGCACATTAGAGAAGGTTAACCATATACCTATGGGGCAGGAATTATGGGAAAGATACCCAGAAATGATAGTAATAACCAAAACTGAGCAATTGGGAAAGAGATCGTAAGTGAAGCATATGATTTCCTCCCACTCATTATAGTATATATATTTTAAAATTTTGTCTTATTATTAAACTTATGGAATAATCTCGTGGTTCTCTATCATAACTACAAGAAACATATTAGTAAGAAGGGTGAATTAAAGAAAACAAAATAAAGGTGAACATTCCACCAATACGAAAGAGACATGAAAAATAAAATTCTAATAATACCAAAACATCCAGGGACAATTACTGTTCTTAATAATAATAGTACTAACATTTACTGAATATCAACACCATATAATTATTGATAAATAGAGAAATTATCAGTTAAATTATTTAGCCCTAGAACACATTATTCATGTGATTTTTTTTGCCTCTCACTGTTTGTGGTAGCATTGTTATGAAGAGACTACCAACGTTCTGGGAGTGTCTTTGGAGAGTTTGGTAGCTATCTGAAAGCGACTACACAACCACCAATTGAAAAGACCAAAAATCGGTTAATCATTGAAAATCTTTAAGTTGTTTTTCTAAAGTTAGTTCAATAGATCAATGATAAAGACATAACCAATTCCATAACATAATACTTTGGTTTGAACTATTGGGTATAATTACTCAAGACACTCTTTTTTTTTTTCCAGCAGATTTAGTGATCTCTTCAGTGAAGACTTGAAGCCTGAACTTTGGAGACATACGGGTATGGTTTCGAATCCCAACACCACCAAATATTTATAGTGCAAGTTATAGAACTTCTTTCAACCATGGTTTCCTTTTCAGCAAAACGGGGTTAAAGTTTCCTCACAGGGTTATTGTGGAAATTAGAATGACAACGCATATAAATATCTAACAGTTTGGCATACAGACTTTATTTAGTAAATAATAGTTGTTTCCTTTCACCCTTCATTTCCCTAGTTAATTAAAATGTATTCCCTGAATTAATGCATGTGACCCTGCAGACATCTTATGACAAAGGTAATTTAATATTTACAATGATCTAAGTTTCTTTTTTCAGAACTCTCTACTAACACAGTCATATGTGACTCACCTGTTATGCTGCATAGTAATCTTAAGGTTGGTGCATCTCCCCCAAAACCATTCAACATGACATCACTTGAAGCTTTGGGGACAGGAATGGTCATGGTAATTGGTTTGTGGAATTTTCTTCTTCTAGGTTCCAAAGTGACTATAGGGCTGAAGGTAGCTTTATTGCCTAGGATCTTCTTAACCAGCTCAGTGTGCATAGGTTGAGCCTTTTCAAAGTAAAAACATAAAAAACATATATATATATATATATAAAGAATGAATCATTATATTTAATTTCAAATTTCTTACCCAATGTATTTTTTTAAATCTTATAAATAAGCTTGGTGGACGTCAAATATGGCAATCATAAGTTCAGTATTATTACTAAGCACTCATATAAAATTTTCTAAGATCCACGATCTCTGATGGCAAACCAAGAATAATCTGATTCTTTAAGAATTTATTTCTCATTTAAAAGCTAATTTCTTTTCTCTTTTTTTTTTTTTTACAAGAAGAAAACATTTATAGCTAGAGATTAATTTTGGTTAATTGTCCAAATATAAGGTGAATTTTTAAATAGATTAGTAACCAATAAACATGGATTTTGACTTTAGCTCTACTATTAACACTACCTTCCTTTTTGGTATGATTATAAATCAAGGGTAACAGTCCTCGACAAAGCTAATTTTTAATCATTAGAATACAATCCTGTTAGGATCACTTGCCTCTAACACGGGCATACCTGCAGGCCTACGCGGATCCGCTTGGTGAGTGCCCCCTCTGGGAAGACGGCTTGCACCTGGGGCACCACTGTGCTGCTCAGCACACCTCCTTCTGGGCCAATCAGATTGCTGTCCTGTTTGATACGAGACACCACTGCAAAGTACTGTGGGAAGTCTCGGGTGATGATGCGGCAGATTCGTTTCTTTTCTAGGTCTTCCGGGCTATCCAGTACTGAGACAAGAAATGACCCACCTTCATTCATAAAGCAAAGATTTCCTTCTGACAGCATTCTAGCCAACTCATTGACTTGGTTCATAATGAACAGAAATGCCAGCACAACATATTTTTTGAAACAACAGGAAAATTTAAAAAGCAAGGCTATCCTAACACCACCAGAAAACAAAAAATTGCAATATTTCAAGATCTGCCAATATTTAGCTTGCACGTTTCCTTTCTTTGTGAAAATCAGGACTTTCCAGGACACTGAGAAAGATAAACATTTAGTTCTAGGTGCAGCATTGCAGGGCCACCTTTGAAATGAGGGACGTGAGGGCAAATATGGAATGAAATGAACCTGTTCTATTCCTGGTTCATGTGATGGAGAAGAAGTTGCTTCTGGACTCCCTTTCTTTGCAAATTTCAAAGTTAGCTCAAAGCCAAGTTATTGTGGTTTTAAGAAGTAACATAGCCCTTTGGGTTTTCAGGGGAATAGTGCAGGAATAAAATCTATCTTGGAAGAGTAAGATTTATGTTTATGTGTTTACTCCAGTGGAAGGGTTGTGTCTGAGATACTCACTGTGGATATTAAAAAAAATCAGTGATTATGAATTCAGGGTTTCAATATTCCCCTGATGCCATTAACTTTTCAAATACATAATTTAACATCAAGAGGATGGGATCATGGGCTCTTTATAAATTGCATTAGTGTAGATATTCAGGGCAATACAAAAAAAATCAAACTAGTGTAAATGTAGAAAATTTGTACTATGTGGATCACTGAATTTTAACAGGCGATGGAAAGTTGTTCATTTTTAGAAATCATTTACAATTCATTATGAGGCAGGAATAGCAACTATGTTTTTCTTGACTATTGGGCATAGCTAGACAGTAAAAGTAAAAAGTCTCAGTATCTGATTACACATGATTGAAGACTGATGCACTGGCAAATACTAGCCTATATTTATTTTTAAAATTTCCAGACATACACAAATCTTTAACTTTCTATTAATAGATTAATTAATCTATTAACTTTCTATTAATACCCATGTAGAAAGCTCATTTTAAAATAAATAAAGTTAAAGAGTGGACCCCCATCCAAGGGTACGATGCCAATGCTCACTGGCAGTGTTATTGATAAGTAAATATCCCAGAGGAAAATATCCGAAACCTAAATGTCAGCAAAAGGAATGGTTTCAAGAAGTAGAAGCAGCTAAATATTGTAGGGAACAATTTTTATTAATAAAAACCCTGATCTTTTTACTTTGCTTAGAAGATACTGACTTAACACATCTAGAGGGAATAATTTCTTCCTCCATCCACCCCTTGGATAACATAAGCCTGGCATCTAATCTTATTCAAACGTTGGTAGGATGTAGAAAGAAATAGTAAAGAAGCTATGGTCAGGCTACTCTTTCCTATCCACGAGCCATATCTGAAACTAGTGCCAGAAGACTCAAGAACTTGATAAACAGCTATACTTGCTCTTGAGTATCTAGCTCTATACAAAACTTGGTATGTTCCTGGCATGCAAGCAAAGAACTTGCCCTATTTCTGCAGTTACTTAAAGTTGAATGTGAATTCTACTATTAGGACTAGGACCTTTTCTCTGTGCAAACTATAAGAGCTGCTTTCCTCTTTTCATACTGAACTATTACAACCTTGTACAGCCCAAGACAGATTTGAGATTTACAGCGACTGAAGTTCTAATGGAAAACTAAGTTCCTAAACTAGATGTGTATGTATGTGTATGCAGTTCAACCCTGGCTAACTTCCTGTTTGAATTATAGGTAGAAGATTGAATGAACTTAATTTTCCTACCCCCTTAATAATAGAAAGTTTCAAAATTATAGTATTCTATAACATACTAGTTATGGGCAGATGTAAGTTTTCCAACAGAATAGCTTAACACTTTTTATCAGTATCTTAAATATCTAATGTTTCAAGTTAGGCATTTTTTTAAATCATGGATTTATTATCCAGTATCAGTTCATTTAGTTATGAAACAACAATATCTATTCTATCTCATTTTTGGCTCAAGTTTACACTAAAAATGGAAGCATGCTGCATCTCTTTAATGAGATGTTTGATATCTTAAAGGCTTTTATTTTCCTGAATGTAACAGGAATAAGATTAAGCAAAAGTATTGTGCATTCCAACTCATCATTACAGGAGCAAAGCAGATTACCTGCTGTAGTAAAATACCACAAGGGACACGGACACACACACACACACACACACACACACCCCTAGGTCATAAGAGAGAAATGAATCATTTTCATGCTTCCAGTTTAGATTTCTTTTAAAATGCTTCATCTGAAAGTACCTTCATCCATGCCATTAAGAATTTCATTCAACTCATCTTCAGTGTAGTCACAGAAATGCTCTTTCCAGCTGTCCCCATTCTCACTGCGCAGGACCACCAGTTCCCTTTCCTTTCCTCGAAGAGCCGCAAAGTGAGGGATCTCCACGATCACAGGCCTGACATAGCAATGCAGAACATTCAGTGTGGACAGGAGCTAACCAAGAGCAAGACAAGCACCTCGACTCTGTTGCAAAGTGACCTGGAATTCTTCTTTTGCTGGGGACAGGGACATAGTGGGCCATCCCCTGAAGCCCACAGGCTAGCAGATGGTCACACAGTAGCACTCCACCTCAGGGGCACCAATCCTCAGGTACATGCTGCTATCTTAAGCCAAATAATGTTTCCCTGTGAGTGCATGTGGCATTCTGGAACTTCTCCTTTGATAAATGTAAGTAGAACACATTTAACCAAAAGAAACGTACATGCATATCTATGATGTCTGCCAATCTCCTAAAACATTTTCGACAAGGTGCAAAATGACGAAATGGTTTAAGAGGAAAATGGCTTACACATTGCATAATTTGATGTGTCGTAAATGAGGAGATGTCAGAAAGTTGACTACTTGTGAACTAAAGAGCCATGCACTCATAGTTTTTGCTTATATTTCCATCATTCAAGGAAACAATAGGCATGTGTACACAGTGTGGCCCTAATTGAGCCCCTCAGCAGACAGCCCAATTGTGTCCAATGCCTATTATATTCAGGATCCAGAGCATGCACTGCCCTATTATTTTTAGGTCACATTTGTTTTCAAAATATATAGAGGGTTTTGATTTTTGGGTCCAGGTTGCTTTGATACAGACTCCAAATTCATCATAACAACATCATAACTAGCACATAGTACAACTAGGCAGATCTCATGCTTAAACGAAAATGAAGGTCACAGCACTTTAAGGGGAAAGATATAAAAACATCACTCAAAAATAAAAGTCACATACCACAAGGGTCAGAAATGGTCCACTAAAGATAGGTTATACAGAATTTAAATCATAGAGAGGGACATGTCATGGGCACAATGACAAAAAAGAGAAATCATATTGCAGAAGAAGGAGAAGAATGGGGGGCCAGCAGCCATCAATTTGTTTTAAGTCACTCCTACCCAAGGAATTTGGTTCCAGGAGGCCCCAGCTGAAGAATGCGGCTGACCAAACTTTCTCCCTCATTAAGTGGGGGAGGAGCCGTTGGCAGGTGAAGTTTACTGAGTACATCCAAAGCAGCAGTGAAAGAAAGAACATAGGTAAGCTTCAGGTATTGTTTTCTACAGAACCCCAGCGTCGCCAGCTGATCCACAGGGTGAACTTTGGTTTCACACTGCGTTTGGTTCTGCCCCCTCCATTGGTCACAAAGAGCAAGGAACCGAGACCCAGAGTGTGCAATGGAGGCGCGTCTGTGCAAGGAGAGCACTTAGCTGTCCGGTCTGTCCCTAATTAGGTTCACCGCCAGGGCACTAGCCAAAAAGGGGGTAAAAATGCTCCACAAGAAAGACAAGCTGTTGGGAATATGATGAAAACTCTGCCCTGTACAGAGGCCAGATGTTTTCATGAATATTCCCCAACAGATCTGAAGATTATTAAAAAGCCTAAACTACCTGAGCATGAGGGGAACAGGGTCTGACACAGAATATGAAAAGAATCATTGGGGAATTACTCCAAACATAATGGCATTTTCTGATGCAACCCAGAACTTCACAGGCTCCTTGTAAAGCTCTGGTCTGTCTGATTGGAGGACATGAGAGGTGGTTGCTATAATTGGGAAATACAAACACACCCCTTTTCAGGTGTGTGAACATAATTTGGAGCAATCTGCTAATAGTTTGGTCCAAATTACAAAGCTTTAGAACATTTCCTGAGTTCTAAAGCAAGAAATCCTCTTCCCAGCATGACATCGGCAAAGTAAAAGAGTTCACGATTATTAGGATTTTCTCCCAGTATTTCAAGCACCAAGACTTAAATACAATTGATTTGTTTCAAAATATTTTGAAACTTGTCCCCCACCAAAACTTCATCCTTGTGTTAATTTCAGCTGTAGCTATTCATTTCTGGGCACATTGAAATGCCACTTAATATAACAGCAGCCGTACAAACAAACAGAAGAAAGAAGAAATGCTAAATTCTGCTCAAAATTGCCAAAATGAGCATGGTTGAAGTTAGTCTTGATGTATTTGTCTTAATATAAACTGTGACTAAATAGCAATGTAATGATAAGGCTCAAGGTAGCAATTTTGATAGCTGAAAAAAAAAATAACATTGATTAAATTTGTAGATATTCTGTAAAGGCAACATTGCTTTCCAAAGTAAAGATAATGATTCTGTTTCATAACTACATGAGAATTTACATTTATGTTTGGAACAGAGCAGAATTTTTTCTTTGTGACTTTACCACTTAATTCTCAGATGAGAAAAAAATACCTACCATCAGCTAAAATATTGGTTATTCACATTGGGGGTCTGGCAGCTATTATTACATCCAAAAAGAAGAAGTGGTATTCAACCTGAATGTTTAACTCATTAATGCCTTAAAATAAGAGGCGTATACGTGGAGTCAAGCATTGAGGTGCTACTTCCAATTTTAAAAATTTCACTGGTGCTGATCCTCTTTCAAAATGGTTTGACGTACCTTTTTCCATGCCATCCTAGTGATTTCATGTAGAGGACACAAGCTCATCGGTGACTAAGTGGGAGGTTTATCAGAAACCCTTACCCAAGGAACTGAGCACCAGAAGGTCCAACTTCGATCAGACGACTGGCCAGGCCTTCTCCTTCCACCATTGGAGGCATTGTTGCCAGTCTGTGGCGCTTGACCAGTCGACAGGTGACTCGTGTTGGAGCAGTACATTTCCGAGGTGGAATAATGATCCGGAGCCCATTGTGTCTGCATCCTCGCATAGCACCACCTCGGGCATCCACCATAAAACTAACCAGGAAACTAAAAATTAAAATAGAAGATTAGATATGTTTGGAAATATTGGGCGCAGATGAACAAGCTTTGTCAAGTTGTTTTCCATAATGCTTTGTCTCAAAATCTCTCTTTTTTATTTAAATGCATGGTGGTAAAATGTTTGCTTTTAAAAGTTATTTTATTTTATACCAATGCCTTTAATTCTGTTTTGTTGTTATTCTAATTTTTATATTATTTTCATCTGTAGAGAAGAATTCTAATTTTTGCTGACAATGATGCTATTCAATATAAACTGTAAATTAAAAATAAGCCTAATTGATTTTGAAGGAAAATGGAATGAAATTACATAAAGAACAATTGACAAATTTCCTTTTGTTATAAATGGAAAGACTTCCGCTTCCTTACGTGTATATCCTGAAAAGTCTACATGTTGAAATAATACAAGGACAAAGCAGAGAGGAAAAACCAAATTGCAGTTTTTCTGCATCCTGTTCCAACATCATCTTACCCAGGATGTAGATTTTTAACTGATTATATTCTAAAGGAGGAGAAAAGCAAAATAATTAAATGTTTTTAATTGAACCAATTTGCTGGTTAAAATGTACTTTTTTACTTATTGAGTAGGAATCTCTCTGCCATACCATTCTAATTTAAACGAGGAGCGGGTGGATAAGGAACAAGTAGACCCCTCTATACACCATTTTTGAAGTGAAATTTCAGGCGTGGGAAACCCTGGGCTCATGCAGATGGAGGATATCCGTATCATCTGTATCATGATTTTTCTCAAACTGTAATAAATTGAATGTAAAAATTATAGCTAATAATTTAGAAATGTTAACAGCATCCCTATTAATTTTTCTCCTTTTCTTCTAGGCTAATGGTTCATGAAAAAGGAGAACTATAATCCAGGATGACTTGGTTTGTTTAAGTGTACCAAGAGAATGGGTTTGTCTTAACTTTGAAGTTGTTTCCTTTGGGATGGTCTTAGCAGATCCTGATTCAGGTTAATTTGAATGCTTGTCATTTGGTTAGTATTAACACTCATTAAACTCTCCCAGGTACTTACCGTGTCAAGTAGCAAAAATTAAACAGCACGGCAACCTAAGGGTTGTGTACACGTATACAAAGACATACAAACTGTGTGTATGCTCTTTCACAAATTACATTAGTGTCCTTTCACATTTTCATTGCATTTGCAAGATTTTTACACCAAAATGGGAAGAGGAAAGCAACATATAGGTGTATCATGGCTCCGCTTATAATCTGCTCAGCACAGAACCAACTGGATTTGTCCCACCTAGATATTGCCTCCACGACAACATTTAAAACATTTGAAAGGTATTTTATCAAAGTAAGTTATGGGATATAAACACAAAACATTTATGTTATTTTTTAGATAAATGAAGAAAAATATCTTAGCATCTTCTTCAAAGCAGAACACACAACTTATTAAACATGCCATTAAACACAAATCCTGTTGCTAGTAATAAAAATGGGTGCGAAGGAGCCCAGAGTGCCTGTCTGAAGCACGTCATGCAGGATGAGACCACAAGAGGCAGCACAGTCCTTCCCACATGCAGGGGCCAGGCTAGACCTTCCATTCATACCTAGCCCGCTTAAGTTTTCAGGAAGGAGTAAAAACTAGGAAGTACAATCAACAGTTCAGTACTGAAGTGTTGATGTTTCTGGTCTTTACCAAAACATAATGAGAAAATATTTGCCACTTTTCTTATTACTAGTCTTCAAGTATGAATTCTTTAAAATTTTCTTTTTCATTTGACTTTTAAATGAACTATTTGTTGCTCAAAAGAATGAAAATACTGGTAACACTTCTAGACAGATATAAAGTTTTTCTTTCCATTTTATTGTTCTTATTTGAGTAGGATACTTAGATTGGTTTTTGTAAAAAAGTAGCAAAAAGTGACAAGTTTAAACTAGTGCTGCTTCCAAATTCATTGCAATATTTTTGACTCACTGATAATTAAGATTAATATTTCCTTTGTTTGTTTGTTTGTTTGTTTGTTTCATCTTTTGGTTACTGCCTCCATTGGTGCACAGACAGGAACTCAAACCTAGTAAGTAATTATTATAATACATCTGCTTGATGTTATCAATCCTCAGTACTATTTATACCTTTGAAGGCATTTAAGACGTTTCCACACTCATGTTGTGTGCTATAACCTCTCCACTACATTTATTCCATTGATGGCTTATGGCCTATATAACATGGAGCCTGGATCAAAGAACATGTAGAGTATCTTCTGGTGGCCCATTCTCTAAAGAGTGAATTGAAGTAGCTAAGTTCCTGACTGTAACAATGTTTAAGTAACTACAGGTTAGATTACTTGCCCTGATTGTGTCATTGACTGTGTCTCTTGAAACCCTCTTTTTGTTCTCACTTGCTCTATAGTTCCATTTCTATGCTCCTTTTCATGCAATATTTGTTAACCTCCTATTAAGTGTCAAGTGCCCTGCTAAGAACTGAGGATACAGAAAGAAAAGACATAGCAGCTGCTGCCAAAAAGTTTATGGTCTAAGCCCCAGATGTCACATGATGGTTTTGTCATTACTTGGAACTGCTTACTTTCCTGGTCACTGAGAAATGACTAAGTCCACACATAGGAGCCATAAAAGTGCCATAATAACAGTGAGCATGTTCTCCATATTTCTTCCTGTGTCCTCTAGAGCCTGGCACAGTGTGGATGGAGCACTTAGCAGGCAGTCAATAAATAACTGTTGAATAAGCGAATGTACAACACAGTGAAAAGGGCAAGATGTGAGGAGCTGTATATATTTATATCTAAGGCTAACATAGGAGAAAATTTAATTCTTTAGTCTCTGGACAATCAGAGCAGTCAGAATTCATTCGAATCACTACATTCAGATGTAGGAAAGCGGTTGGGAATGACTATCCTTAATGTTAAATATTCTTCTACAGGCGTATTCCTGCTCTAATATATATAGAGAGACCTAATAAATTGATTTTCTTTGATAGAGGACTGGTAGAAAATGAGAGTAAGCAAAAACCAGAAGTTTGAATTTAACAAAATAAACCGTTTTAATAGAAGTGAAAATTATATGAAGAAAGACCAAAAATGAGAAAATCAAAATAAAAGCACTTAAAGCCTGAAGCTGCAAGCAGATAAATTTACCTATAAGAATCTCTGTGTCATTGTAAATCTGGAAAGTAATATTTAAGTATTGCACAAAAATCCAAAGCAAATTGGAAAAATTAAGGTGCCAATATGCATAATTCAGAGAAAAAATAATTTTTGTTTTCCTTGAGATAGGGTCTCACTCTATTACCCAGGCTAGAGTATAGTGGTGCTATCATAGCACACTGTAAACTCGATCTTTGGGGCTCAAGCGATTCTCCCATGTCAGCCTCCCGAGTAGCTGGGAATACAGGCAGCATCACTGCACCTGGCTAATGTTTGTTTTTTTGTTTTCAGAGATGGGGTCTCCCTATGTTGCTCAGGCTGGTTTTGAACTCCTAGGCTCAAGCAGTCCTCCTGCCTTGGACTTCCAAAGTGCTGGGATTACAGGTATGAGCCACCATGCCCAGCCTAAATTAAATTTTTAAAGAAAACAAGGCTTCATGTTTTTATCAAGTAACTAAAGGAAGAGACACAAACCAAAAAAAACCCACCAAGCTGTAGCGAGGAAATTTTCTTTAGAAGAGAAAGGGAAGAGAGAGAATAAAGTAAAACAGAAAGATGTCAAGAAAGAAATTAAAATATTGGAAGATATGAAAAAGCTAAATATTAATAGCCAAAATAAGTAAAACTGTTGATAAAATCTAACATGAAAATACTCTAAACAAATTAGACTCAAATAATGCAATTGCCAAACAACTGATAAAAATGCTAAATTTACAAAATTGCATAATAAAAGAAGTCTTTTCTTTAAATAAGAAGGAATAGGAAAAATAACTCAAGTTTATAGCTAGGTGCTGATGAAAAGTCTATTGACAATAGTCAGTATGCTTATCAGTTAATCCCAATAGTTGATAATATAAAATTAGGTAAGCATCTGAGTATTTTCATTAAAAATATCAGAATACTCAAAAGCGCCACTATTTGGACAGGTAGTAGAGTTAGGAGACAGGTATTCTACCACGTAAAACACAACTGCAAATAAGCAAAAAACAAATTGTAAGCAAACGTACTTTTATGTACCACAGGAAAATGAGAAAGGTTAGAAGGTGTGAGTCGCGAGATGCGTCGTTCACATACTAGAGTTGACTGAATCAATATGATTTTTCTCATGTTTGCAGGAGATTAAAAATGGGACAACATAATCCCTATAAACATTTGGAGATGAAAATAAATGAAGTAAAAACATATAATTAAATATATTTAGAGGAGGTGGTAATAGAGATTGATGGCTCTGCCTGTCATCTATGAGCTTTAAGATTGAAGCCTCACCTGGCAATGAAAAATAATCCTGTTACCACTTAAGGTTGTGGTGAGAAATTTTGTGTGGGTAAAGCATACGGAATTCAATAAATGCCTGTTCCTATCATTTTCCTTTCTCTACACTTATAGGATTTTATGTATTTTAAATATCTTTAAAATAATACAATATACCACTTGAAAAATAAATGGGGAAACTAACCTTTACCTACAATGAACCTGGAACTATGCTAAGTAGTTTAATATGATGATGAAGTTTGTATTCGTTTATGAAGTTTACTTAAATAAGATATAAAAATACCATTATCACGAAGCACAGGAGAATGCAACAAGTACCATGCTCTTCCCTGGGTCTAGATATATCTCTATCTTGAATTAATGTTGTAACCTCAGGTAAGTCACTAACGTCTTTAGGTTTCAGTTTTCTTATCCATAAAATGGGAGACTTCTACTAAATAGACTCCAAGTTGCCTTCCAGTATTGAAATTATATGCACAGTTTACTGTTAACTAGGTTGGGAAACCTACTTAAATCTTTCATTTCAGATGCACTGAAAGAATTCCTAATTGGAAAATAAACTGCTATTACTTCAGGAAATATATATTATTTTTG